AGGGCATCCACATGGGCACCTACTCATAATCACATTCACCAATGAGGTGCCCCCAGAACCCGTCTGCTTTTGCCTCCTCTGATTTCCCTAGTCCCTGTCTTCAGGTTAGGCCTCCCTGCTTTGTCTCCTAAAGCACCACGCCCCCTGCCCACCTCCAGTGTGGCTATTCACCCTCTGGTCAACATCTTTCCCTTGGACTCTAGGCTCCCCTCTGGCATCTCACTCACCCAGCACTGGGATGGCCTCTGGGGAGTTGTTGAGTGAATCTGAGAACCAGAAAAACCAGAAGAGCGGAAGACCAACGGAAGCTGAAGCCCTGGGTCCTGGTCTGGACAGGTGAGGAGAGGCAGAACCCAGATAACAAGAGACCATGGCGGGGAGATGAGAGAAGAAGAGTGGAACGGGACACCAAGGAAGGACGGGAAAGAGATTCAAGCTGCTCTTAATTCTTAGGCTCATGACACCTCAGGATTTGAATCCTGATCTGTCTCTCTATACTGGGCAGCCACGAGCAATCACGGTAAAAAGTGTGATGATAGAAGAACATGTCTGGAGCTGGACAGGTACATCGTGTGACAGCTCGGGTGCTCGCCATGCATGCAACCAGCCCAAGTTCACTTGCCAACATCTCATAGGATCCCCTGAGCACCAGCAGGAATAATTCCTGAGTGCAGAGCCAGGAGGAACCCCTGAGCATCGCCAGGTGTGACCCTCCCTGCAAATAAAAGAAATGACATGTCCAGTTTTGAGCAGTAGCGTGGGAAGGTATGACACTGGGTTCTTCCCAACCAGGGCCCTGAGATCTTACAGTGTACCCCAAGTCCTCTCTGGAAGGATCTCATAATTGGCGACCATAACACTTTTCTTCCCCACTGGATAATTCTAGTCAACCTTAGTAGAGTTTCCTCAATGCCTGCCTGCAGGGATAACTATCTCCTCCTCCACCTCTCTGGCCACATGGCTTTGCCAAGTGAGTTACAGGATTTGCTGGTCTCTACTCCAGGCTGGAGCTCTGCTGCCTCCTCCCAGCCAGCACAGAGGAGCTCTGTAGATATTTATCCCTGTGGAGGGGGAGGTGGTAAGCAACACTTCCATCAGGATGTTGAAACTCCTTCCTGATACACTCACCATGGCAGCTACAAAATGCAGCCCCTGATTCAGACAGTACAGGGGGATAGGAGTTTTCCTTGCAAGTGGCTACCCCAGGTTTGATCTCTAGGACTGCACAGGGTCCCCTGAGAACCATCAGGAGTGATCTCTGAGTACGGTTGGGAATGACATCAAGGAAACAAAAATTCAGACCCTTTTCGTTCTTATCTCTTTCTCAATGTCATGCCTGTCTTCAAAACATCTGGGTCATCTCCCGTTAATTCTTCCTCTGCTATCATTTTCACCCAGACCCTAGCCAGCCTCTCTCCTCTTTGCTCTGAAACCACAGCCCCTTTCCTGATCAACATCAGCACCACAACAACCTACCCCACCTCCAAGTCTAGATCCCTCATCACCCCGTTGGGTGAGGCTCAGCAAACGCGCTGAGTATCCACCGTGTGCCTACACAATCTCTAGAGCCGAGGTCACAAAAGTCAGCAAGATAGTGGACTCGCCTTTTTTTAGGGGTTTCATAGTCCCCTCATGAGAAAAAGGAACATGAATGGATTGTTCAGACACGGTGGAGAAACACACCTGAGCGGGGAGCAATAGCAGTTAGAGACAGAAGGAGTTGGTGGTCCCCAAAGACGACGATGCCCTCAGCACCCACTAGGAGACATGGCTCAGCTCTCAGGGTCTGTCCCAGCTGCCACGGCCAAGGGGAAATCCTCCCAGCCTGTGGCTTCAGCTCCCACTTCCAACCCAGGCTCCAGGCTAACTAACAAGGTACCTTCTTGACCCCGAAAAATGCAGCTGACCGAGGGTAGGAGGGGCAGGAATTCACCCTGCACCCCCAGACCACATCTGCCTGGAGGCGTCACTCATTCAGATTCCACAAGCTCCAAATGGACCAGCAGAGCCCAGTTCAGGGCTCTGCCCCACAGTGGCCCTTCCTGGGTCTCTGCTGACTCCTCTCAAGGTCCACTACAAACGGGCCTCCTTCACCAACCTTGTCTGGATGGACCTGCCAGGCACCCAACACTGCGTGCTTCTGGCTGCCATCCAACCGACTGACTCTCATCCTGCCCTGGGTTACAATCACTCACGTTCAGGCACACCTGTTCACTGAAGAGCAGAGAACACCCAGTGGAGGTGTTTGCCTCCACCACGGCATGCCCCCCTATTCTAATACCAGTCAAGGGTTGGATCTATAACTGCTGACCATCTGGGAGTACCGCCATTGATCACATCCGTCCCCAAGACACGTAAGCATCCTACAAATGCATGACCACATGAGACAGATACGCAGCCCCTTCCTCATCCCACAAATGCATGGCCACCTGCTGGGTTAACTTGCTTCTGATTGGCCGGGAGTGTTGGATGTCTATCAGGGAAGCAGTTTCTGCCGACAGGTATGGTGTGTCTATCTGTGTCAGACACAGAGAACCCTGTCATCTGTTGAGGGTGAGGGCAGGAGACAGTCCCCTCATAGGGAGGGAGCAGGAAGGGGGAGGTGAATCCAAAATAAATATATGATCAGTGCCCTGGGGATTCCTGATCTATTCCATATCCTCTCGGTCATCTTGCTCTTGGGACTCAGCTCCGACAGCAAAAGGAGAGGGGATAGTAGCTCTCTGCTTTCATGCTTCTTCAACTTTCCCACAAAAGTAGGCCACACAGCGGGAGAGCTGGATAAACACTTGCTCTCAGTCTTGCGCGCGCGCACTCTCTCCAGAGTTTGAGGGCAAAGCCCAAACCTGCCGCCGCCAAGCATGACATGCCTTTGATGTCTCCATTTTATCTTTAAACATTCATGGACATTTCACATTTGGATGCATGGGCTACGGAGGATTCTTTGAGTGTGAAATCTGTTTAATTACCTAACTTTCCTCCCATTCCAAATCTTCAAAAATGGGAGGGCAAAAAAAAAAAAAGTGATGCTGATTCCCTAGGAGTTATAATCTGATTTAAGAATCTGGTCTCAGCCCCTCAAGCCACAGATGCGAAAGCCAGGAGGTTCAGGGATAGACTCCAGGTACCCGAGAGTCAGAACCCAGAGTCAGAACCCAAGAGGACTGCTCCAAACCCCCGGGCTCTCTCCGTTCATCCGTTCACCCACCAGCCCATCCATCTGTGCCACTGTGGGAATATATGCTTGTGCGTAACCTTTCCCCAGTCACTGGGCTCGGGATATGATTGGGAGTCTGTGGACCAAGTGATTCATTAAAGAGGGGCTCCCTTTCTGAGTCGGAGGACTCCCACATTCCTCAGGAGAGATCATTGAGTCTGTCTGTGACCAGGAAGATGGGGAGAAGGCCAAGACCACTTTGCTGGCATGAAGAGTCAGAAACTCCTGACACTGGTAAAGAAAGTCCCCCAGTGACCTCGCCTTGCCCGCTGCTCCTGGCTTCTAAGCTCCCTGGGAACCGACCCCTGCCATGAACGCCCCTCTGGGAATTCACCCACATCCTCTGCATATTCCAGCTCCCTCCTCCTTGGCCTAACCACTTCCACTTCCAAGAAGTCGCCTCCTCCGCCCCCATCTCCCTCCCACAGCCCTTTCCTGGACACAGTTGGTCCAAGGACCAGTGCCTCAGGATTGCTGTGAGACTTCCAATCCTTCTCCCCTCCCTCTCTGTGTGTCTTTTACCCTCGGCTAATATTCTCCCTCTGGGACTGGAGCGATAGCACAGCAGGTAGGGCATTTGCCTTGCACATGGCCGACCCGTGTTCGGCATTTCATATGGTCCCCTGAGCACTGTCAGGAGTAATTCCTGAGTGCAAAGCCAGGAGTAACTCCTGTGCATCACCGGGTATGACCCAAAAAGTAAAAAAAAAAAAACAAAAAAAAAAAAACAACACTGTCACTGTCACTGTCCTCCCGTTGTTCATCGATTTGCTCGAACAGGCCCAGTAACGTCTCCATTGGAGACTTTGTTGTTACTGTGTTTGGCATATCGAATACATCACAGGTAGCTTGCCAGGCTCTGCCATGCGGGCAAGATACTCTCCGTAGCTTGCCGGACTCTCTGAGAGGGGCGGAGGAATCGAACTCTGGAACGACCATGTTGGCTGTGTGCAAGGCAAAAAAAAGAAAAAAAGAAAAGAAAAGAAAAGAAATTGTCCCTCTAACGAGCGAGTTTATATTCCAAACCCCCTGACTCCAGGCTGGATTTGTAAATTGCTTTGGACAATAAAATCAAGTGGCAGAGAGGGAGTCTCAGTCCCAGCTGACACCTCAGCAACAGACTGTGGGGCTCAGGGGTGCAGCAACTGGCCTTCTGGAACCCCTGACAAGATAAAGCCGCCCAGGAGGGAAGCCTCACCATGGAAGGAACCTTCCAGAATGTTCTCCCAGCTTCTTGCTCAGAATGTCACTGACATGCACCAGCTCTCTGATCACCAACGCAGACAAGGGGAGTGGGAGGGGAATTCCTCCCCCAGAGGGTCTTCAGAAGGGCATGTCACCCTACTCACTCCAAAGGTTTCCAGCTTGAGTCCTCGCACCTTGAGCATGAGGAAGGGTGCGGGTCTACAAGGTGGAACCAAGGGCCAGCTCAGGTCAAAGGTGTGAGCCGGGCAGCAGACCCCACCCCAGCAAGGGGTCCCCAAGGACTCAGACCAAGTCGGGGGTGCAGAGCTGCTGCTTCTGGTTCTCACAGTAAGAAGCCTTTGAGGTCCGAGCAGACACAGGGCTGAGTCGGGTGGCCCCAGGGGACACAGCAGGATGATCTGGGGCATTGGGAGCCCACCCCCACACATACACATACACACACACACAAAAGGACACTAGACCCTTCTCGGGCGTCCCCCCTCCCCGGAGCGGGCCCTGCCCCAGCCCCAACTCGGGGGGCTCAGTGGGCAGGCGGCTCTCTCCGGAGTTGGCTCCTGCGGTCCAGCTTGCTCATGACCTGGGTGATGTCCACCGTGTTGGCGGCCTCCCGGGCCCTGGCCTCCTCCTCCAGCTGCCGCAGGACGACGGGGCTCGGGCTAGAGCGCAGGTGGCGCCGCATGAATGGGAGGCTGGAGCTGTGGGGGGAGGAGAAGGGACAGGACAGTGAGACGGGTGGACGAGGCCCAGGCAGACGAGGCCCAGAACATGCCTCTCTGCCTCCCTGAGCACCCGGCCCGGAGACCCCAGAGCCGGTCTGGCAGTGGCTCTTTTCCCCTCCCCACCTGGGTAGAATATAGGGGGGACATTCCCCACTACCGTCAGATTGGGGCGACCACAGCCAGACCCACTACAGAGCTCTGGAGCCCACTGCCACCTTGAGTCCCTGTAGGTGCCAAGAGAGATGGGGCTGCGGCCTCAGGGGACAGCACGTGCTCCATGTCCCCAAGGCCATATTCTTGACAGGTTGAGGCTGACCTGTCCAGGCGGCCTGCCCAGTACTAGGGAAGAACCAGACGTGGGGACAGAAGCCAACAGGGGCTCCTGGACACGGGGAAGATGCAGTACCTGGGAACCCACCGGCAAAACCCAACCAAATGCTACATCCGTGATCTGGGTTACCGGGGGTCTGGCTCACAGCCATGCTGGGGAAGCAGCATTCGAGAGCTTACAAAGGAGTTTCCAGGCCTCAGGGACCGCTAATGCCAACCCCACCCCCAAACACACATACTCCACCCCCCGCTCAGCGTGGGCCCCACACTGTTATCAAGTAGAACATCTTAATAATGGCTCTTGGCTGGCACTTCTCAGCAGGGCCCAGCAGGGCACAGACTTCACAACACCCCCACTTGCCTTCTCTTGGTGGTTTCCTGGGGTTCGATGGCCTTGGCCAGCATTTCCTTATAGATGGGGGATTTTAAATAGCGGGCATAAGAGTCCTGCAGGGAGCAAGAGGAAAGCAGTTATCAGGGGAGGGGAGGTGGCGGATGAAGTGGCCGCCCCCTGCATGTTTTCAGCGCCTCCTTCGCAGGAGGGGGGGCGAGGAGATGAGAATCGGTTTCCCTGGTCACAAGGCGGGTTGGCGTGCCTGAAGTGGAAGGGCTCAGCTGTGAGTCCCCAAACTTGGGCTGGGGGCGGGGGGGGGGGGGGGGCTGCAGGAAATAGCAGACAGGTGACAAATGAACCTGTCCAGCATCCAGTGGATATCTACCTTGAGGAGCTGAGTCTGCCAGGGATGGAGGTGTTCCTGTCCTTCACCCCAATTTCAGGATGACTCACTCTCATTAGAAGAGGGGATGGGGGGGTGAGTTGTTGCTGGTGGTGTCTGGTCTTAGGTTCTCTTCACCCCAAAAAACCCAATGTGGCTTTTAATTGGGGGTGAGTATAAACCACGTTCTCTGTGTCTGAACAACTTTCCAGGGAGCTGGGGAGAAAAAGGGCTTCCTGGGGCCAATCTCATGTGCTGGGGGGAAAGGCTGGTGGGATGGAGAAGGGACCACTAAGTAGATGATGGTGGGAGGGATCGCTCAGGATGGGAGATGCGTGCAGAAAGTAGACTATGGACCAAACATGATGGTTGCTTAGTGCCTATATTGCAAACCATAACACCCCAAAGGAGAGCGAGAGTAAAAGGGAAGGTGCCTGCCACAGACGCAGGAGGTAGGAGGGGGTGGGGGTGGCGGAAGGGACACTGGGAACATTGGGGGTGGAGAATGGGCACTGGTGGAGGGACGGGTCCTCAAACGTTGTTTGATAGAAACATAAGTAAGAAAATCTGTAAGTGCATCTCATGGTGATTCATTAAAGTAAAATAAAATAAAAATAAAAAGGCTTCCTGGGCTCCCAGCCCTGCCCCAACCTTCTTCATGAGCATGTAAATGTGAGTCTGTGCCGCGTCCAGCACGTAGCGGTGGGGGTGCCGCAGTCCCTTGACCGTGATGTCCATGGTCTTGCCATCGATGTTGATCCACCGCCGGGCTCCTGGAGCCAGGAAGAGTCTAGAACGGGGACATGGGGGAGGTAAGGGGGGAGCCAAAGCAGCGAGACCCAGTCACAGAGGAAAGTTCCAGCTGCTTGGGAGGGGATGGAGTGGGGGGCCTGGCTCAGGTCTGAGGGACGGTGAACGCCAACGGGCTGGCCAGCCACCTCCTCAATGCCAGGACACCGCCTTGCCGGGATTGGAACTCGGGATGTTTCGTTTGGGCATCTCCAGCCTCCAGGGTAGATGGCAGAGGGTCACAGGAGAGGGAACACCCGTGTGGGGTCAGGACACACGCACGCACGCACATGCACACACATACACACACATGCGCACATGCATGCACACACGCATGCACACGCACACATGCGTACACAGGTGCGCGCACACGTACACACATGCACACACGCATGCACACACGCACTGCACACACGCATCATGCATGCACACACACGCTCGTGCACATGCATGCAAACCCACATACACACCACACATGCACATACACACACGCACATGCACATACCACATGAGTGCATGCACACACATGCATGCACACACACATGCACACCCACACGCATACACACATACACACACGCATACATGCGCACATGTGCACACACACATATACACGCACATACACCATCTCAGCAGACTGGGGTTCAATCCAAAACTTTGCCTCAGAAGTGGGCAGCTGCTCTGGAAACACTCAAACTTCCACGGAGCCATCAGAGACCCCACAGGCCTCCCCTGGCCAGGCTTGCTCAGAGGAACCCAGAGCAGAGCAGGACTTGGAAGGGGGGTGGGGACAGGCCCTGAAGCTGCCACAGGGGCCTGGCTGGCGCATGCAGTGCCATGGCCTGGCAGGGCCCCTCCACCTCCATCCCCTTCACTCACTTGTAAATCTCCTCCGCCTTCTCTTTGACCTTGGACTGGTCGCCATACTTCAGGTCCTCACAGGCTTCCCAGAAGCCCAGGTTCTCCCCTGAGAGCCGCAGGGATGACAGCCAGGCAGGGAGCAAGAGAAAAGCAAGAGATAGCATCAGGTGAGCTAGGAAGATCCTGGTCCAGGCTGGTGTCCGTCTGACTCTGCAGGGATCCTGGAAGCTGTGGACAGACCTCCCAGCCAGCCCGATACCCACAGTTAGGCCTTATGCCCCCAGCCCTGCCCACAGAGCCGTGCAGCCTGTCCACGCCCCATGGTGAATCCAGTGGTGATGATGCCAGACATATGTTTGAAGAGGAACAAGACAAACCTCCATTCTGCAGCCCCGGGCCCAGGGGACACACAGGCAAGCTCAGCTCCACCCCCAGGGCCCCATCCCTTCTAGCCCATGCACTTGCTAGAGCTTGAGAAATGCACTGCCGCATCTTCTCAGAGGCAGCCCCAGTCTCCTGCGGACACACAATGTCTGCCTCCTTTGTGTGAACTCAGAGACCTTGTCTCTTGAGTCAGGAACATTCTAGCCAAAGGTGCAATGCAGATGGCTACCCAGCCACTTCCTGGAAGGTCACCCCAGCCAGAGACTCAGCTGCCCAGGAAGCAGAGGGAGTGTCAGCTCCCTTGAATCCTTTCATTCCTCCACTGGAGTTCTCTAACCAGCCCCCCACAGTACCCGGGGCTAGTGTGAGAACTTGGCCTGTCACAGGGCATCACTCCAGTGATGCTCAGGAGTTGCTCCTGGCTCTGCACTCAGGAATCAGTCCTGGCGGTGCACAGGGGAACCATACGAGATGCTGGGGATCAAACCCAGGTCGGCTGCGTGCAAGGCAAATGCCCTACCCATTGTGCTATCGCTCTGGCCCCACAGGTTATTTTTTTTTAAAATAAAAGATTGTCACATCAGGACCAAGAAAATTCCTGCGTATGCCTGTGTGTGTGTGTTAATTGGGTGTGTACCTGTGTGTACCTGGGTGTACATGCACTGTGTGCACGTGCTAAGGTTCACATGTGTATGTGTGTCAGTATATGTACGCATGTGTGTGCCTGTATGTGCGGATCATGGAAAACTGCAGTGTGGGAAACAGCCCAGCATATCCCTGCCTTTCGTTCCAGAGTACTTCACGTATCTCAGACCAGGAAAGGCTGCAAGTAATAAACTAACTATTTTTGGGATCATAGAGATAGGACAGCAGGGAGGGTGTTTGCCTTGCACATGGCTGATCTGGGTTTGGTCCCCGGCATCTCATAGGGTCCCCCAAGCGATTCCTGAGTGCAGCACCAGGAATAACCCCTGAGCATCACCGGGTGTGACCCTGAACAAATAAATAAACGACTTCCACCCCATAATTCTCTACAGCCCTTCCTCTTCAACCAGAACTCAGGACCTCTCAGCCTGCACGATCCAAGCCGTGAACCCACAGGGCACAGGTGTACAGGCAAGCCTCTCCGTGTGCTGACCACATTGCCCATGGCTAGGAACGGCTCATCACAAGAGCCGAAAAATAGAAGCCTCCAGAGGTGACCCAATGGCGAATGGCTAAGCCATTTCTTCACACTACGGAGGAAACAAAGCATAGTCATGGACTCCTGCATGGACGAACCTTGAAAACGTCCAACCAAAGCCATGGTCATCTGGGTTCACGCGCAGGGAATGTCTGGGGGAGGCCAGTCCGTGAAGGAAGTAAATTAGCAGCGGCCCAGGGCAGGCCATGAGGGGCAGGGCACAGAGGAAGAAAGAGAACCTCAGTGGCCTCTGAGGAGTCATGGTTTTCTCTCTGAGATGGTGAAAACGTTTTGTGATTCTACCCTGAACAGATGCTCATCTTCGTGAATAAAACCACCGAACGTATGCTTGGCATGTGATTTTTATCTCGATCAAAACATTTTGAGGGGGCTGGAGCAAGAGCACAGCAGATAGGGCTTTTGCCTTGCACATGGTCGACCCGGGTTTGATTCCCGGCATCCCATATGGTACCCTGAGCACCACCAGGAGTAATTCCTGAGTGCAGAGCCAGGAATAACCCCTGTGCATTTCTGGGTGTGACCCAAAAAGCAAAAAATAAAAAAAATTTCTAACATATTCATCTTTCCCGTTCATCCCTGAATCCTCAAGACCCTCGGGAGATCATTCCTAGAGCTACTTTTTAAAATACAGCGACTTTTCTTGGATAGGGAGAATCACGCCTGAGAGCAGGAGGGAAGTTCACAGTGTCATTCCCCCAGAGTGCCAGTAGGTGGCGCTCTGTGCACGCCTGGCTCTGAGCTCGGCTCCCTTCCTGCTCTTCTGGGCTGTACTACATGGCGGGGCCACTAGGCTTGATGTGAGAAGGATTTTGCTGGAGCGATAGCACAGCGGGCAGCGCATTTGCCTTGCGCGCGGCCGACCGGGGTTCAATTCCGAGCATCCCATATGGTCCCCTGAGCTACCGCCAGGAGTAATTCCTGGGTGCAGAGCCAGGAGTAACCCGTGTGCATCGCCAGGTGTGACCCCAAAAAGCCAAAAAAAAAAAAAATCTATTGTAATGTGAAGTGTTGCCTCAGACCAAGAGCTAACCCTGTCCCACGGGGCCAGTTCCGAAGGCTGAGTCCTCGGGGCTCTCCTTTGGGAGTTAGCAGCTGAATATTGAGGCCACTGGTGACGCTTCATGAGCTCTGGAGTCGGAAAGAAGTGAGTGAGTTCCAGAGGAAACACTCCAGTGACAAAGGCAGAGTAAATACTCTGGGTGCTCAGCCTGATGAAACTGGTCCTACATGGGTTTCGGGTTTTCCCAGCTGCTTCTAGTGTGGAATATTTAAGAAGTTGCTGGACCACACTCATCGCTTAAAGGGGGTGATGCACAAGACTTCCATGGGTGAGGGCCCAGTCCCCAAGCACCACTGGGGAAGCATCCTCCCCACCAAAAAAATAAAAGTCACGTGTACCTCCCATGTAAAACATGGAACGCATCCCGGCCATTTCCAGTGGCAGCTGGAGGGAGCAGCCCCAGAGCAGAGCTGGCGAGACCTTCAAGGCATAACAGGATTACAGTGGTCCAAGGAGGTTGCAGAACTCCTGCTATTTCAAGCCCTGACTTAAAGTGCACCTCAGGATGGTATCCCAGGCAGGCATGTTTTATAGTAACCCCAGACAAATGGCAGAGAAGCATGAGCTGAAGAAAAGCAAGCTGATGGGCTGGAGGGGCAGTGCAGTGGGTAGAGGTTTTATCTTGCACGTAGCTGGACCCAAACTCAATATCCGGCATCCCACAGGGTCCCCCAGGTCCTGCCAGTAGTAAGCCCTGAGCACAGAACCAGAAGTAAGCTCAGGTTGTGGCCCCAAAACCAAGGAGAGGAGAGGAAAGGAGAGGAGGGAAGGGGAGAGGAGGGGAGGGGAGAGGAGGGGAGGGCAAGGGAAGGGAGAGGAGGGGAGAAGGGAGAGGAAAGGAGGGGAGAAGAGGGGAGACAAGGAGAGAGGAAGGGAGGGGAGGGGAGGGGTGGGAGGAGAAAGGAGGGGGGGAGAGAAGAGAAGAGGAGGGGAGGGAGAGGAAGAGAGGAGAGCAAATTGAGACAAAGACAAACGTTTCATGAGATAATGCAAAGACCCACCACTAAACTCTTTCTTGAGAAAGTACTGGAAGCTCTGTCTGCCCTTGGGGTCTCGGATCAACTCGCTGAAGTTGAAGGCCCATCGCTCCACCCGCATCTTGGTTGGGATCTCCACCCTGCAAGGAAAGGACCAAGATTTGTCAGAGTATGAGGGGTGGGGCCTGGGAGCGTGGTCGGGGGCAGGACTTAGTGGGCGTGGCCAGGAGAACTCTGACTACAGTTGAGAGGCTAGGTGCCCCCCAACTTCCATTAATACTACAGCCCAGAACTCGACCCAATCCTCACTGCCCACCCCGACACACATCAACTAAGCTTTGCCAAGTACAGGCAGCCTGCGCCGAGTTCCAGGAGCCGTACACGAAGGGCTGGCTTTCCAAGGGTGGGAGACGTCTCCCAGGCACTTGGCACTCAAGGTGAGGGAACCCAGTCCACTTCAGTCGAGGGAGGGGCACCCTGAGCAAGGAGAAAATTCCAGAACATCCCTGATAATGAGCACTCTGCCACCTACTCATGACTACACAACTGCCCCTTCCCAGCCACTACACAACACCAGCCCAGTGAGAGGGGCTGTACCCTGGCCCTGAGCGCCAAGTGAGCCCAGGTTTAAATGAATCACAACTGTATAGGTGTGTCCAACACACACACACACATGCACATACACGCACATGCACATGTGCACACACACACACACACACATACACAGATGCACACACTGAGCTTTCTCCAAGAGGCAAGGGTCCTCCACCTTCCTGTGGGGTAACGTCACCCTGATCCCAGCAAAGCTCAAGCCTTGCATCTCTGAAGCCCAGAAGACTTAGTTGCTCTCCTAGACCTTGTGGAACCCCCTAACCCTGACTCAGTTCCTTGGGAAAGCGGATTTCCAAGTCCAGGTGCCAGCAGCAGGAACAGGGAGCAGGTAGAGCTCATCCAGGACATCTTATCAAGTTGACCCTTCCAAAACAACAGCATCCAAACAGGGGACGCATCTAAGAACCCCAACAGAGACACCTGCGACACAACAGGGATATTGAAAATGCCAACACAGACACCTAAGAATCCTGCCACTGAACATCTAGGAGCCTTCACAGAGATACCTGATAGCCCTAGGATCTTAACAGAACCCCTAAGGACCCCATGGAGATGCCCAGGAACCTTCACAGAGAACCCCTCAGGGCCCTAAGTGGGGCCATGACAAAGGGACCCTGTTGGATAACATTGGGTTGTTCTTGCTCCTCCCCCAGGGAACTTACGTTTATTGAACCACTCCCACAACAGTGCCCCTGAGGCACACCCAACTCCATTCTATATAGTCTAATAATCCTATATTACTTTTCTTTCTTTTTTTATGTCACTTGCATGGTTTAGCAATGTTCTTTTTGTATAGATAAAGGAAGACAGTTGATGCTATGCTTTGTAAGATGGGAGTTAGTTGACTCCAAAATAATATCTACTCCTGGGCATCCATATTTACTTGACTTAAGCCTCAGTTGCCCTTAGTTCCTAGCACTCTAAAAGCAGGGTCCCGACGAGGGACTGGATGGACTCAGGGAAAGCTGTGAGCTACCGTGGCATCGAAAGGAGACAAGCTAAACTCCATAAGTATAATAAGTTAAGAGCATGGTCATGGAACAAACTCTGTCATGACCCAAAAAAATGGTAATTGAATAAGGACCTTGCTGGGGTCAGGAAAGAGTAACCTGGTCTGAGGACTGTAGTCTGGGATATACAGCAAGATGTCCCCAGGAAAAGCCAACCTTTAAGCTTAATATATCACTTACTGTGTTCATACCAAATGGCTAGAAACATTATAAAAAGTAAATTTACTATGATTGTTTAAATGGATCACTAGCTGAGGAAAGGAGAAAGCAACACACCCTGGATAGAACTGGGTGTGCCTCAGGGGCGCTGTTGTAACAGTGGCTCAATAAACCTAAAGCTCCTTGCAGGAAGAGCAAGGACAACCCAATGTGATCCAACAGTATCCCCCATGCGAGTCTGTCCTTGCCCACACATCACAGCCAGCCAGAGAGCCACAGAGCCACGACCACCCAGGCAGGCCAGCCTCGGGTCCAGCCTTGCAGGACCTTCTTTGTGCGCCAGCCTGAGAGTCAGTACGTGAGGCTGTAAAGAGGACAGTTTGCTTATTAAACAATGTGTGCTCCCACACGGCGCTGCCATCTGGCCCAGCTGTTCCACTCCCAGAGCGACAGAAACACAAACACATGTCCACACAACAGCCCCGCACACACGCTCCGAGCAGCAGCCTTACAAGAGTGAACGGCAGGGACGGTCTGTGGAAGACTCAGAAAACCAAAAAAAAGCAGCAGAGGCTCCAACAAAATAGGAGCCAGCCCTAAGAAGGGGGTGGGGTGTGGCTCAAAGGGGAAGAACACACACGAACTGGCACCGCACAGCCCCCAGAGCACTGCCAGGGAGCCCACCCACCTGGGCAAACCCAGAGGGGCAGCCCAGGACTGGGGGAGCAGAGTGAAGAAGCTGGGAGGGAACAGGGGCCAGCATCCCTTCCAAAGGTTAAGGGGCTTCTTGTCGGGGTGCTGAAAATGGTGTGAAGTGGATTACGGAGAGGTTGCCCAACTCTACAAACTCAGCAAAAGCCACAGGCTGATGACTTGCAGAGCACATGACTTGTAACTCAGAAAAACCATTTCCTCAAAGGAAAAAAAATGGGGGGAGGGGGCAACCCGCAGAATACATACAATTTGGCATTTAGGTCCCAGAACTGTGTGTCATCCGTTATCCAGGGATTGCTGGGGAGGCAGCCGGACATGATGGCATCATTGGACGAGAACTGCTCGCTGTATCGGACGATCCTAGAATGCAGAGAGACCACAGTTTTCTGGACACTCAACAGCCAAGAGGCAGAACCGCGCCCCCAGCTCACGGACCAGAGGCCCCGTTGCCTTTCGCACTGCATGACACGCTCACGGCCTCCAGCTCCTTGGACCAAGACCCTCTGAGCTCTCTCAGGTGAACTGTGGGGTTGTGCCGAACTCTGACCTCTCTCTCCCCACCACCCCCCTATCCCTCAGCAAGTCCCTTGCACCCCCTCCACTCAAATCTGGACTCCACATTCCACCACACCTTGGCCGTGTCCACTAGATGGGTCTGCACATGTGCCGAGGCCCGGGAGGCCCGTCGAGGGAGGCCGAGGTCACTGTTAACTCACTGAGGTTTGGCTCTCTCTCAGGACCATGATTAGTTTAGGGCACTGAGGCCCACTCATTCCTCTGAGGCCTAGGTCACACAGAAGGAAGAAGCCCACGGCCCCAAACGTGGGCAGGAGCTGACCCCTTGCAAAGGACTAAGGCCTTCAGAGTGGCCTGTGGACTGGTGTCTGGCAGCTGGGAATCTTAGAGAAGGAGTCCACACTCCGTGGTGAACCTCTAAGGCGTCCACGGACACTCACAGACCACAGGACCCTCGCCCTGGAGATGGACCAACACGCTGGGTTTGCATCTGCACAAAATTAAACCACTCCTTCCACTTCCTTTCACCCCCAAACACTCTTCCCATTCCTGCAGAGCTTTACCGCAGAAAAGCAGGAAGGAAGGAAAAGGCAATCAGTCCACGGGCCAAGTACTGATGATGCCAAGGCATGGTGACAGGCATTGAGGTCATTTTTGGCAGGGATGCACAAAGCCCCGAGTTCAACCCCCAGCAGCACAGGCCCCCCAAGCAGCGCCAAGGCATGAGCCTGAGCATTGGACTGTCCAGTCTGCTTGGTGAGTGTGGCCAGGGGTGGCCCCCAGCTCTCTTGAGTACTGCTTGGGAGGGCCCCCCATATATATATATATATATATATATATATATATATAGTCAAGTGGGGGGGTCACACCCATAAGCTACCTCCTGCTGGCGCCAGATAAAATCTCATTGGCCACCCTCCAGAACTTACAGCTGCTTCTCCCAGAAGGAAGCATAAAATGAGGCCCCCATAACCATGCCACTAGACTCTGAGCCAGGCTATTTTCACTTGGGGTGCCCCAGAGGGGAGCGAGTGAGAGCCTTCCCCACCCCAAGGGACCCAGCGCTGGCAGCCGACCTCCATTACCCAACTGCTGCCACTCTCCAGGCTGCTTTCCACATGCTCGGGCCAAGCACATGAGTTTCCACATAGGAGTGAACATATTCCTGGACACATCATAAGACACTCCCTACCCCTTTTCCATAATTACCACACCAAATTTGATGGGGTTCCAACAGTAGGCAACAAATCATAGAAATATATATATATATATATATATATATATATGTATATGTATATATGCCTGTCGGAAAGCCTGGAAAGCTACCAAGAGTATCCTGCCCGCACAGCAGAGCCTGGCAAGCTACCCATGGCGTATTCAATATGCCAAAAACAGTAACAATAACAGATCTCATTCCCCTGACTCTGAAAGAGCCTCCAATATGGCACTGTTGGGAAAAGACGAGTAAGGAGAGGCTGCTAAAATCTCAGGGCTGGGACAAATGGAGACGTTACTGGTGCCCGCGCAAAGTAAATCAATGAAGAACAGAATGACAGTGATACAGTGATTGTCAAGTAGGTCTTAGGCACCTCCAATAGCTTTGGAGGTCTGTCAGGGTCTTTGTGGGTGAGAGAGAACTTCCAGCATGTCAGGTCTCGACTTTACCCCAGAACACCATATCATGGAACCCACAGCAAGGGGACCCAGTTCCCGGCCCACCCTCATCTGAGAGCCCGGCTTAGCAGACACTGAAGAAGGTTGAGGGGATCCAGGTATATTTTCTCAGGCAGTTGGTAATTTGGCCGACTGAGGGTTTGGACAGTGGAGACAAATATTCGAAGAGCCATTCTGAAGCCCCACCCCTAAACCACACTGGAGGAGAGAGCTGGACCAGTCAGCCCATCCCCCTGGTCTGCTGAGACCCCCTCTGGTCTCTTAGGACTCCCCGGGGACAGTCAAGGCGGCTAGGCCATCCTAAAGCCCCACACCTCAAAGGGATAACACAGCTGGGTGCAGAGCTGGGCCCCGTGATGTCTCCCTGTATCAACAGAGCTGGAAGGTTCAATAACGCAAATGTGAATTTAATTGAGTCCTAATTGAATTTGGAGAGGGTGGTGGGTGGGAATGAGGAGGTGGCTGGGGCCACACCCTACAGTGCTCAGGGGCTATTCCTGGCTCTGTGCTCAGGAGGGGACCATATGTGGTGCTGGAGATCAAACTGAAACCTATCACATGCCGGGGATGTGCCTTACCTCCTCCGCTACACCATTGGATTTTAAATCAGAGATTACCCAGAGGATTTCCAGTCTGGTTGTGCCTGCAAACATCACCCCGATGTCCCTCATACAGGGGTAATAAAGGAATATGGACAACTGGGGATCCACATGGGGTCCAGCCCATGACTTTCCACTTCCTCCCACCTTCTCATCCACTTATAAAAGGATCCCAAGGAAGAGCAGAGCTATGGACAGAACTTCATGCTCTCCGGCTTTGGCATAAATCTCACAGACCCCTACTCTGGGCTCCCAAAGGGAAAACCCACAGACTGTCAGTAAGGACCAGGTACCTCATCCCTAAGATCCTGCTTTTTCCCCTTGAGTCCTTTAAACTCTGAAGTCAACTCGTGAAGGTAAAGCTGACAGGAAGGCGGATGACCCTCTCTGATAGCCACTGTCTCTTCAACCTCATCAAATTAGTCGCCACGACAAACCAAGCAGAGACTTACCCGCCCAGGGACACGGAGGACTTCACCGTGGACCTCATCAGTGCCTGCTGGTAATACATGATCTGGAAGAAACACGGATGTGAACACACATCAGCACTGCACATATCAACCAACAGCGTCTCTTACAAGGACACCTATGACCCGGAACCAGAAGCCAGGTCTCCACCCCAACTCCGTGCCCGCTCTCTCAAGCCAGCCATATCAGTAGCAGGGGGACTCAGGTCCACAGCAGATTCCTGACTCCATGCTCTGAATTAGGGTAGCTCGCTATGGGTTCATCTGGGATATAGCAACAATTGAAAAAAAAATGGTTGGGGGGGGGGGGGGAGTTTTTCAGAGCAATGAACCCACCTGTGGAGAGAGATGCTTAGTTTTTCCCTCCCTAGCCAACACGCACCAAAACTCTGACTGTAGCCCTGGGTTGAAATTTGCCAAACAAGGTCATATGTCCCTTTGGCCACTGCAAGAATGGACTCCAGCTGGGATGTAGACCCCGTGAAGCCTGTGAACACCCCCACTCCCACCCCTACCCCCTCATTCTCTAGCTGTGCCTCTGAGTTCCACACCCCAGCTCTCAGTATCTACCTCACCCAAACCTCAGCATCAGGTCAAAGCACAAAGATTTTGTTCAAGGGTCTAAAACCAGGCTTTGGGGCTGGAGCAATAGCACAGAGGGTAGGGTGTTTGCCTTGCACGCAGCCAATCTGGATTTGATTCCCAGCATCCCCTGAGCACCGACAGGAGTAATTCCTGGGTGCAGAGCCAGGAGTAACCCCTGAGCATCACCGGGTGTGACCCAAAAAGCAAAAATAAAGTAAATCAGGCTGGGGCTGGGGCTGGGGCAGAGGCTGGGCTGGGGAAGTGGCTGACTTTGAGGCATGAGACAGATTCAGTGCTAGGCACAGCCAGACAGAGATGCACATACATAGATCAGATCAAAGGTCCCTGCAGCAGGGAGGTTGATTACCTCTTTTTTGACAGCTGTGATTGTTTGTTTCTGTAAAACAAAGAAACAGAAACCATTCACCACTTGAAATCATTACAGTTCAAATAAACATTTTGAAAAAAAAAATTGTGTAAGTCCTTCCCCTGAAATTGTACGCACTTAAGGGGGGTAGGTTGGAGTTGGGAGGGAAACTAGGGATATCAGTGAAGAGAAGGGCACACTGATGGTGTTAGAACACTAAATGCTTGAAGCGACTGTATAATGGCTTTATGAATCACAGTGTTTTGAATTGAAATTAATTTTTAAGAAAAATCTTTTCCCAAGGGCTGGAGCAATATCACAGTGGGTAGGGCATTTGCCTTGCACGTGGCCAACCCAGGTTCGATTCCCAGCATCCCATATGGTCTCCCGAGCAGTGCCAGGAGTAATTCCTGAGTGCAGAGCCAGGAGTAACTGCTGTGCATCAACAGGTGTGATCCAAAAAGTAAAAAAAAAAAGAAAAGAAAACCCTTCCCCAAGAGAAGACTGTCCATCTCTTTTTATTTAGAATTTCCCCTTCTTTACTCCCTTTGCCCTATTCTACATCGCCAGTGGGGAATCCAACCAGCTAAAGACTCTGATGAAGGAAGAAGTGTGATTCACTATAAATTTATCCTACACAGTGGAAAGTCCAAGTCCGTGAAAGGCTACATTTGGGATGGGTCCCAGCTGACATTCTCTGCTGAAGGAGTCATCTCAAAAAAGCTGAGAGATGAATATAAAGGGAAGACGTCTGGAGCCTTCTCTCAGACAGAGCTCTGCCTGAATGGTAATGTGGGGTCCTCAGTTATTCTTAACAACCCAATGACACAAGTTGGGGGAAATACCCCTTTACCACACACATCCAGCACACAACAGCAAGACTGGAGATGGATCTCCATGGAATGCTGAAACCCAATTGGGAGCTCTGGATGTGGAAGATTCCATCAGAACCTCCATCCTCGCTCTAAATCTGCAAGCCCATGTGTGGGATGAGTCGCACCAACTCCTCTTTCTGGATTGTTTGGGTTTGAAAGAGAACGTCTCAAAGAGAGCCTTGATGTTTAGGCTCTTGGCTCCTGGGAACCTTCCAGACTATTTTCTGCTAAGATCTTCTACAATCTGACATGCTCCCTCAGTTCCCTCTTTGGCCCCTGCATAGCTCTCAGAAGGCAGACACAGGCTGAATGCCAGGCTCCGTTTTCCTCGGCTTGGTCCTGTCCTGGGCTGCCTCCTGCAGACATTTACCCTTCAAACTGAGCATCCTGGTTGTTAAGATACACACTATTTGACACCACCAAGTCTTCACACCAGATGGGCACAGAGGACACTTCCCTTCGCCAATTTCCAAGTCAGGCCTGGCTCAGAGGCACAGACAAGAAATGAAGACGGATCCAAACTAGATGCCCCAACTGCATCCAATCCAGTTTCATCTCGTTTCAGGAGATGGCTTTTGGACCATTACTTGGACAGGAAATCTAATTTCCTGGGCAGGGTAGAAGTTATTTCAAACAGGTCAAGCTTAGACAGTCCTCTGTTTGGGAGCTCACCCAAGCCCAACTTCCTCTGTCATGATGCTCATCAAATTGGTGATAATGTGTTTTTCAGTGTGGCTGTTTGCTTATGGGAATTACTACCCACAAAGTACCATTAAGGGCAGGGAGACCCTATCTCCCTTCCCGAGAGCATTATTTGAGGCAGAGGAGTTGCTTGATAAACATAGAGCAATGACGGCCTGAGTGCCCTTTGGGACTTAGAAAAAAAGAGAGAGAGATGCATTCTAAAAATGCATAGAAAAAATGCTTAGGGGGAAAAAATGAGAGAGGCATATTCTACTAGAATATGTCTCCACTTGAAAACTTGGAAAACATTCCTCAACTGACCCAAATATTTTGGCAACCACACTGATTCTGTGTTCCCAATAGAAGACAGGGTTTTTGAAAACGCACATTTCAGGTCGAAAAGGAGCCTGGGGTTAGAGTGGACTTGCATTCAAAAATTCAAGAGATTCAGGAGCCAGAGTGATAGAACAGTGGGGAGGGTGTTTGCTTTGCACACAGCCCACCCGGGTTCGATCCCCAGCATCCCCTATGGTCCCCTGAGCACCTCCAGGAGTAATTCCTGAGTGCAGAGCCAGGAGCAACTCCCAAGCATCGCCGGGTGTGACAAAAAAAAGCAAAATAATAATAATAAATTCAAGAGATTCAGAGTAAAAATCCTGCAGACGTGCCTTGTTTACCTCTGCATCCATCCTCGGCTCAGGAAGGAAACCCAACATCCCTGCAATAAAACCACCCAGCCTTGAGTGCCTCGCCACTTGCACCTCTCTGATACCTCACAAAACTTAAGAGGGAGATTTTGCAGTCTAATTTTCAGTCAAGGAAACTGAGGTGATGGGCAAGTTGGCAGTTGGCCAAGACAGGATTCAAAGACCCTTTGTGGAGCTGAGGGACAATGGCGGGAAACAGACAGAGTCCTTCCGTGCCTTCCTCTCCCACCGTGAAGCAGAGGGTGCCCGCCCCCCCAATCCAATGACTCTGGCTACATTCTTCATTTCAGAATCAGCCAGAACAAGCGAGCACTCCAGCCCCTCTCACAAGATGAAATACTCACACAGAATCACCCTTTAATTAACACTCAAGATGGCAGAGCAATAACCTAGCTCTGAGATAAAGGGAAGTTACAGAAGCAACGCAGAGAAAGGAGACTAGCACAAGCAGCATGGGATGAAACACCTGAACGCCACTCAGAAAACAGATCTTAAATGTGATCACACATAGGCAGGTGTCTCACACACACACACACACCACAATTAGGTGAGGCAATAGAGGTGCTAACAAACCTTACGGGATCATCGTTTGGCAATACACACCTGTCTTTGATCATGGTGCTATCACACTATCACACTGTACATTTACATGTCACACATCACCAGATCACAGAATAACTGACACAAACAATAATCAAGATTGTCTTAGCAGCCAGCCTCATAAACATCCCTTCCAAGTACTCTGGGCCCTGTATTTGCAACATAAAACTTGCGGGGGATGGAGGGATTATTTTGTGGCTCCTGACAAGAGAACACAGGAAATAAGACAAGTTCTCAGTTGGTCCTTCTATTGTCTTGGCACCAGGAACTTTCCTTGCAAGCCAACCATGCAACACACACACACATACACACACAGTCCCATGCACATACACACTCACAAACTCTTACAAACTCACACACATATTCACATACCTTGAACACTCACTCAGACTCCTGCACTCATGTGCACATATACATATTCACACTCAGACTCTCAAGCTCAAATGCACACACATGTCCATTCACCCACTCATTTACACAAAGAACTCACTCACACACTCATACAACACTCACACACATACAAGACACTCTCTGACTCACATGCACTCACTCACAAACTAACACAGACCTTACATACACATACACACGTGCACCCACACACTCATTCACACACATCACACAAACATTTACCCATGCACTCACTCTTGCATTCAGATTCACACACTCATATACATACTCACGCACACTCATGCACACACACATACATTCTCAACTTCTCCTGGTCTGACTGACCTAGTATATTAATTTCTGGGCCATTGCCTCAGTCTACAGGATTTGATCACTTTTTACATTTTGATCCACTCCCTTCACCCTTGCTAGCCTTGGAGAGCTCTGGTTCAGTGGTGTGGTGGTGTGACATGCTAGCAATTTTTGGAATCCCAGAATTTTCAGGCAATGTCTGAGAATCTACCTGCAATGGATTGGGTTGAGTCTGGGGCTTCCGCACCTCCACAAGAGCTCTGATGTCTAGTATTTTTTAAAGTGCTCCAGGGGCAATGAGATAGCATCCCACACCAGTGAGAAGGGCACCTATCAAAAATAGCAGGGACAGTCTGTGCTGGCAGGGATTGGTGAAAAAGCAAGTCTCATCCACTGCTGGTGGTAAAGTTTCCTTGTTCATCCCATGTGGAAAACAGTATGGAGAGTCCTCAGTAAACTTAGGATTGAGGTGCCGTATGACCCAGCAATTCCGCTTTGGGACATCTGTCCCCCAGAATGTAAAAAGGCTCATTCAAAAGGATGTCTGCACATCACTACTCATTGTTGCACTTAGGACAATGCTGAGATTTGGAATCAACCTAGGTGTCCATCAACAGGTGAATAGGTTATGAAGATGTGGAACATACACTGTACACCATGTAATACTACCCAGCTGTGAGGAACAATGAAATCACGCAATTGGCTGCAACCTGGTTGGAACTCTGAAGACAAGAGTGAAATAAACCAGAAGAAGAAAAACAATCTGTGATATACAGAATAACTGGATGAAGAAATGCAATGTAATAAAGAGAGGGTGCCCAGGTCACCCTTGACTCCAGAGCTTAGGGAGAAGGAAAGAAATCAAGGAGAGAAAAAAATGAGAAAAGAAAGTGACAGGGAACAGAGGCTGGGACTTCTGTGAAACCGATGTGGGAGAGTGCTGTCATTATACATCCAAAGCACAGAACCAACAACAGAACCGACAACAATAAAAACATGGGTTCTAAGCTGCCAACACCAAACTTTGTAATACCTGTCAAGGTGAAGGAGCAGGGTGGAGGGCATGGAGGGCATGGAGTAAGGAAACACTTGTGGAGGGAGTTGGCACTGGTGGTGGGATGGATGTCAAAATATTATGTGCCTAAAACTCAACTAACATCCATATTGTTAATCATGGTTCTTTAATTCATTTTTTACAAAAAAATTAGAAAGAGGCCCAAGCCATGTTAGGGGTCTCTGTTCTTAGAACCAAGGTGGGAGGCTGTGGTTGGGGGGCAGGGGGAGAAAGTATTGTATAATTGGGCAGAAGGTTCTGGAATTTTCTAACAAAGAGAGAATTCTATCCTAGGAAGCAGGGAGAGCAGATGGGGGTGACTCTGGAAAATAGGTGGACTCTAAGGGTCAGACCAAGGTCAAAACTCTAGTACTTAATGCATTTGTATCTCAAAGCCTCTTTCCTCATTTTATCAAATGGGACAGAATAAGGGAACATTCGGTGAGCGAAAGCCAGGTGACCACCTGTCTTTGCAGTCAGTGGCTGATGGTGAGGGTCCCACAGTCCCTGCAGAAGAGCAGGGACGCTGCATTCACCCCAATGTCAAGATCAGACCCAGACACCTTACACTATCTGGGCCACTTATGGCGCTGATAAAGTTATTCATTGTTTATCTGAACCTCGAATTTAACTCTCTGTTGATGCTAAACCCCACACAGATCCACTCTCAGTATCCTCATGACTTAGCCAAGACTGGAGAGGCATGAATTTAAGGAAAAGTGAGGCTATTTTTTTCCCGTACACACACTCATGACTCAAAATCTGGGGACAAACTAAGCAGGAAGCCCTTGACCCTGGAACTCAGCCACTGGTTCCCCGCCAGCAGGGCCACCACTTTCTCCCTGAGTGATGAATGACATCACCCCTGCGCTTCCCTCCCAGGGACACACTTGGTCACTGTCGGAATTCTCTGCCTGAGGAACCCTCCAATTCTCAGCATTCCTGGAATTCTCAGTCATTCTTTTTCCGCTTGCAGTTGCCCAAATAGGGTTACATGTGGACACAGTTCCATGGCCAGCTACTGCCCCCAAATCTGGACGCAGACTGTAGCCAAGGCTTGTGGCCAGGCCTTGGGAGGGGTTGGTCAGGGGGAGGTTGGAGGGGATGTCACAGGCCCCTGAAGACAGAAGTAGGGAGATGATGGGGGGGGGCGGGGGCAGGAGTCAACCTTTGGCTATCAGCTAAGGCAGCGGCAAGGGTCAGGTGGAGCACGGACTGAGATGAAATTTTGGGAAACGTGAGGAATCTGGGGTCCCCGAGAGCAGAGAGAGGTCTGAAAGCTGCAAACCAGGAGATTCAGAGAGAGAGGACAGCCGGTAAGGCACTTGCCTTGCACACAGCCAAGCCTGGTTTAAATCCCCAGCACCACCTATGTTCTCCTCAGCACTGCCTGGGGTCACATGTGAGCACAGAGCCAGGAGTAAGCCTGGAGCACCACTGGGTGTGGCCCCAAACCAAAATAATAATGATTTTCAGAAGATTAGGCCAGAACCTTAACGCAAGTACAAGACTCACTGTCCAGAGCTGGAACGATAGTACAGCGGGTAGGGCGTTTGCCTTGCATATGGCCGACATGGGTTCAATCCCTGGCATTTCATGGTCCCCTAAGCACCGCTAAGAGTGATTGCTGAGTGCAGAGCCAGGAGTAACCCCTGAGCATTGCTGGGTGTAACCCAAAAAGCAGAAAAAAAAAAAAAGGACTCACTGGCCATATAGACAACGGGTCTCAGGGATACATGAGTGAGGTCAGGCACCCTAGAAAGGTGGGGGCGGGAGGGTTCCCATGATCTCACCAGCAGCGGCCAAGTACTCCCTTTCCCTATCCCCATGGGGTCAGTGGACGGTAAGGACAAGGGAATCCAGCCTCTAGCTTCTAGAAGCCTCAGAGCAACCAGTAAACATGAGAGATGAGCCAGGGGGTGGGCCAAAGTCTCTCCAAGTTCAAGATTTCTGGGCTGAGACTCTGAACACTCAGGCACTGACAGATCCCTTTGAGGCTGCAACTGAGTCTTAACTAGACGCTCACAGGGGAGCCAGAGCCCAAGACCACAGGGGTGTAGAGCAATGGCAGTGCTATCACTGTACCCCCGGGGCCGTACCCCACCAGCGTCTTCTCCCTAGAGCCAAACTCTAAGTCAAAGGGGGGGGCTGCCATAGGGTCCCCCCAGTCCTGCAGCTGAAGGGAACAACCCAGGCATCTCCTTACACCGCCGGGTCCTCATTGCCCTCCAGCCAAGCAAAACATTGGGGGTCTCTCTAAGGGGCACCTAAGCCCAGAAACCTCTGAGGTCCTCGGGTCCTTGTCACCCCCACCCCTCGGAGAGGCCAACAAGGAAGGCCGCTGGGTCCAGTGCAGGAACCGCACCTGCCCAGAACCCAGCCCCCCTCAGCCCCCACAGAGGATCTGAACGGCAGCCCCGGGCCCCGGCAGACAGGAGACATTCCCGAATCTTCTGAGTCCTCACAGACAGGAGCAAGGGAGCTGGTGGGAGAGACAGAGACACAGAGATGTAAGATCAGGAAAAAGAGAGGGTGCACCCGCCCACACCCTCTGCTTGCCTCCTGTGCACCGTGCACCACCAGAAGCAGGGCTGAAAGCAGCTCCCCTCCCCCGCCCGACCCTCAGCAGCCAGTAACCCCTTCCTCAGCAAGAAGGGGCTGGCTCCACCCCTCGGAGTGACCCCTCAGTAGCATGGAGGAGGGGCTCGGCTGTCCTCCGCTGAAGCACACACACAGGACTCAGTCCTGGGGGCTGATCAGACTGAGGGTTGCATATCTCCCCTCCAATTCCTGACCTCTTCCCAGCGCCAGAGAGACTTCTGTCTGGAATGTTATCCTAAGGACAGCAGGTTTCTACCTGGGCTCAAGATTTTGTTCCCACGGCAACCATGAGTGCCAGGGCTGGAAGGCTGTCAGCTGGTGGGGTGGGGGGGGCGCAGGAGTCCCAAGGATGCGCGTGGGGTGTGTGTGTGTGTGTGTGTGTGTGTGTGTGTGTGTGTGTGTGTACATGCTGTGTATATGGGTTTGTATGGTATGTATATGGTGTGTGTGTATATGGTGGTGTATGGTGTATATGGTGTGTGTATGGTGTGTGGTGTATGTGTGTATGTGTGTATGCTGTGATATGGGGTGTGTATGGGGTGTGTCTATGGTGTATAGTGTGTGTTTGGTATGAGTATGGTATACACATGGCGTACCCAATATGCCAAATACCAGTAACAATGATGGGTCTCATTCTCCTAAAGAGCCTTGAATACAGCACTTTCTTAAAAATCTCAGGGGTAGGATGAAGGAGATGTTACTGGGGCCTGCTCGAGGAAATCGACGAATAACAGGATGGTCGTGATTCGTGTATGGTATGTGTGGGCTGGAGCGATAGCACAGCGGTAGGCCGTTTGCCTTGCAAGCGGCCAACATGGCTGACCCGAATTCGATTCCTCCGCCCCTCTTGGAGAGCCCAGCAAGCGACTGAGAGTATCTCGCCCGCATGGCAGAGCCTGGCAAGCTCCCCGTGACGTATTCGATATGCCAAACACAGTAACAACAAAGTCTCCAATGGAGACGTTACTGAGCCCGCTCGAGAAAATCAATGAACAACGGGAGGACCGTGACCGTGATGGTATGTGTGTATATATGGTATATGTATGGTGTGTGTTCATGGTATACGGTGTGTGGTATGTATATGGTACAGTGTGTTTATGGTGTGTGTATGTGTGTATACTGTGTATATGGGGTATGTATGGTGTGCATATGGTATACAGTGTTTGTATGGTTTGTGTCTATTGTGCTATTGTGTATTTTGTGTGTATGGTATGTGTGGTACATGGTTGTGTATATATGGTACACTATGTATATGGTGTGTGTGTTTATGCTGTGTATATGAAGTGTTATGGTGTGTGTATATGGTATACACTATGTATATGGTGTGTGTCTATTGTGTATGTTGTGTGTATGGTATGTGTGGTGTATGGTGGTGTATGTATGATACACTGTGTATATGGGGGGTGGGGTGAGCGTGCACGTGTGCATGCTCACACATGCAGAAACCTCACTCATTTACCAGACACCACCTCCAGGGCCTGGACTCCCTCCCCACCTGAAACACCGTCCCTAACCTGTGTCTATGGTGTCTGATGTGTATGTGTGTGTCAAAGGCCCTACAGTCTCCTCTCTTTGGCAACCTCAAGGAAGATCATTGCCCCAACAGACACATGTAAACTGTGGGCCCTTCCCATCCTAGGACCTTGACCTCAGGCCTCCTCAAGTACTGAGTAGAGACCTACCTGGTTTACCTGAACTTCATTCGGATCTGTCACTCGATCCAAGCCATAGTCCAGCACATTGTTCATTCCTGGCTAAATGGGACAAAAAATAAAGATCACTTCAGGGGAGTTCTCCAGTTTTTATTAATCTTGGTTTTTGTCAAATGCTAATTATTAAACTGCACTAACATGGGTTGGTGGCCTAGCCCATAGGGAGCTATGAAAGTATGTTATACCTTCTGAGTAAGAGGATAAGCTTCACGGGGGCTGGTAAGCTTTGAGGGGCATCCACAGAATCTAACATAGGATGGATGAGTGAAGGATGGGAGGGTGAGTGGGTTGGTAAACTGATGGAGAGATGGCAAGTGGATAAAAGGATGGATGGATAGATGGATGGATGGATGGATGGATGGATGGATGGACCAAAGGAAGGACAAATATACATATGGAGGGATGGATGGATGGACAGTTGGATGAACAGTTGGATGGATGGATGGACAGTTGGATGAACAGTTGGATGGATGGATGGACAGTTGGATGAACAGTTGGATGGATGGATGGACAGTTGGATGAACAGTTGGATGGATGGATGGACAGTTGGATGAATAGATGAGTGAATGGGTCAACTGATGGGTGGGTGGATGGATGGCTGCATAGGTGGATGAGTGGGTGAGAATGGATGGATGGATGCATGGATGAATGGGTGAGTCAATGGATGGGTTAGTGGTGAATGAATAAGTAGATGGATGTGTGGGTCATTTGGGTGGATGGATGGATGAAGAATAGATAGATGATGAATGGATGGATGGGATGGTGGATGAGTAGGTATAAGTGTGAGTAGATTGTGGATGAATGAATAGATGGATGGTGGTGGGTGGGTGAATAGATAAATAATGAAGTCCAGAGAGTTCACTGAGATTAGGACATGGAGTCCCCATCCTTCCCCAGTGCTCTTTCTCCACCCTACAGTGCAGTGCTCTAGGGGGTCCAAGCATCAATCAGGCCACCCCAGATTCCAATCCTGAAGAAGTTCCCACCTGTGAGGAATATTGGGAAACTCTTCCTCCTCTCGACACAGATTTTACCTTCTGAGAAATGGCGATGATCCCACACAGACACATCTTGTGAGGATTTAACAAAGGGGGTCTGCAACTCTCAACAGAGGGCATCTATTCCAGAGCTAAAGACATCCCTCCTAAGGCCGTGTGGATCTGTCTGATCCCAAACTGAACCCTAGTCCTCCCCACTTCTCTTCTCCATCAGACAGCCCAACTTCCTTGCCCATCTTGCTGGGTCTCTCTCAATTCCTTGAGGTGGCAATTTGGGCCTTGCACTTGTCTCTCTGTGAGTCTGGAGCCAAAAATCCAGCAAGCCCTCAACACAGGTGAGGAGCCAACGCAAGGGCAGGAAATAGCAGGGCTTCCCCCCCACCCCCACCCATCAGTTCAAGTGTCAGAGAATCACCCACATTTTTCAGTTGAGAGGAAAGGCTGCCAAATAAAGATATAGTTAGATTTGAATTCCAGATGAACAACAAATAATATATATATGTTGACAGGAAAATAGATCCCATATGTCTTTAGCATAAATACACAATAAACATAAAAACAGTGGGACATGAGTCATTTGCTGTTTAGCAAAGTTCACATTTGTCTTGGCATCCTCTTTGATTTGCTAAATCTGGAAATCTAGCTCAGAGGACTACCACGAAGGCAAATGTTGGGCATGTCACCTCAGCAAGTAAAAGGTGATAGAAAGAACTAGGAAATGATGAAGGAGAAAGAGGAGGAGGTGGAGGAGGAGGGAGAGGAGGAGAAAAAAGAGGAGGAGGGAGAAGAGAAGGAGGGGGAGAGCACAAGCTGGTACCTCGTTGTCAAAGGCAGACCTTGACCAACACATGTTTGTGGGGCTTTTCCTACAGCTACATTGAGCTCAACCCTGGGGACCTGCCTTCCTCTTGTGTCTCCAGAAGGCAACTCTGGGACCTTGGAGAAGAGACAGCCACACAACAATGAACCACCCCAAGGAGAAATCCCACTTGGGATAGATAGTGCAATCTCAGGCAGGGTTGTGGGGGAGGGCATGGAAGGGTAGCTCAGAGGGCGGAGCGCATGCTTTGTATGTGGGAGGCCCAAGTCCCATCCCTGGAGTGGCATGAATGCCCAAGCACCTCCTAGAGCCACCCTCAAGCACAGAGCCAGGGGTAGTCCTGAGCACTGCCAGATGTGGCCCCCAAACAAAAAACAACAGCAACAAATCTTCAAGGGGATGTCACCAAGCATGGGGTGGTGACCAGAGTGGTGCTGGGGAGGGGGTGGCCGGCCTGGAGAATCAATATCTCGACCTAGAGGCGGGATCTAAGAATTGCCCCCTCCAGCTGGTAGAAATTCCCCCAGTGTAACTGAGGTGACTTTACACCTAGACACATACCCTCCCTTTGCACACCGCCCCCTTGCACACTCCCACGGGGTGAGCAAGCCTGCATATTCACGCCTGCACACACAGGCTCTGATTCCCTCCCATGCTCACATACCTGCTTACTCGTGTGCCCTGACTATGAGTACATGAACACACCCCGAGACATACACAGCCCCGCCTTCTTGCAGCCATGGACCACAGCTCGGCCTGGAGTACTCCCAAGCACTCCGGCTCTGCTCACTGTCTGCTCGGGTCTTTCCTCCTCCTCTTCATCTTCCTCTTCCTTTTCCTCCTCTTCCTCCTCTTCCTCCTCCTCCTGCTCCTCCTCCTCCTCCTTCTCCTCCTCCTCCTCCTCCTCCTCCTCCTCCTCTTCCTCCTCCTCCTCCTCTTTCTCCTCCTCCTCCCCCTCTTCCTTTTCCTCCTCCTCCTCCTACTTCTCCTCTTCCTCCTTCTCCTCCTCCTCCTCCACCTCCTTCTCTCCTCCTCCTCCTCCTCATTCTACTCTTCCTCCTCATCCTCCTCTTCCTCCTCATTATCCTCCTCATCGTCATCCTCCTCCTCCTCCTCATTCTCCTCTTCCTCGTCCTTCACATTCTCCTCCTCCTCATTCTCCTCTTCCTCCTCCTCCTCCTCCTCCTCCTCCTCCTCCTCCTCCTCCTCCTCTCCCTTTGAACTTGACCCATCTACAGTGGTCCCTGCATTTGCATCCGCACAGCCCTCATCAGCACAGGGCTGCTCTCAGCCACCCGGACCTGGCTCTCTCAAAGCTGCTGCCCACCATGTCCCTGCTTCTCAACACTGCCAGTCTTCTGTGCCAGTGCCTTAGTGGCAGACCGGCTGCCCCCAGCAGCCCAGGCTCCTCTTCTGACATCCCCCCTACGTCTCATCTCAGAGCTCAACATGGAGCCAGGGTCTCACCCCGGAATCTGCTTCTAAACTCCCCCCTGAAGTTGCCTTTCCACCCCAAGCACCATTCATCCACTCAGCACCAACGCCTCAGCCCCCGAGGCTGCCACCAGAGTCACTTGTGATGGGTACCTGGCACATAAGGGGGTGGCCCTGACAAAGATGCCCAGAGCTGCCAGTCTGGGAAAGGAAACGCACCAGCTGTGTCCCTGCAGGCTGGCCAGCAGAGAGAAAGCAGCCAGACATAGCAACCCAGGCCATACACGGAAGCCCCCAAAGACAACTGCAGCCAGGGGGACTGTGGGTGTCAGGGAGTGGCCTGCCCCAGAGACACTGGGATAAATGCTTCAAACTCAGCCACAGCACCGCCAGGAGAGGACCCACGGAGGGGACCTTCCCAGAGTCTTCCTTCCCCAGCCACGCTGGGTGGGGAGCCGATGCACACAGCTTGGGGCCACCTCTCACCCCACCCCACCCCCGTCCTCTCTGTGCCCTCCTTCTTGTCATCCCTCTCCTCCCTCACACTTCAGCTCAGACCCCTTTGGAGCACGGCACAGGAAACGGAAAATCTGAATCTTTTGGCCAAAGCAATCAGGCAGGAGAGTGGGAGGCGGGCTCCGGCAGCATGCTGTGTTTGCAGGGAGGGGGACAGAATGGTGACAGTGCCAAGCTCCACTGTCACCGGCAGATGGCCCCTCAATAAGCCCAGTCCCCTGATTGCTGAGCCCTGAGCCCACCTCCTGCCCTGGACCCCCCTGAAGGAGTTGCAAACGGCCAGGCAGGGTGTTGGGTCACACCTGGTGATGCTCAGGGCTACTCCTGATGTCCCTTTTCTCCAGTGCCTCGCTTTCCGGGCTTTGGAGCCTGAGAGTTCTAGTGGTTTCCTCTTTGGTCCTTTTCCATCATATACAGGCCATAAAAGGTCTCCGGAAAGGGCACTGGAGCCAGAGAGATTGCACAGCAAGTAGGGCACTTGCCTTGCCCACGGCCAACCTGGATTCAACCCCCGGCAACCCAGATGTGCTTTACCAGGAGTGATCCCTGAGCACAGAGCCAGGAGCAAGCCCTGAGCACTGCCAGGTGTGACCCAACACCCCCAAACAAGAAGGTCAGAGCCCTCCTACGAGACCAGACAAACTCACCCTTAGCTGACTTCACTGAGCCCTCACTCCACCGGAGGGACCACCAGCAGCCCCAGCTAGCTCCTACCTCAACTTCCCCAGGAGGTGCTCCCCCACAGGGCGCATGGGTGAAAGAGGATGGGGAGCAGGAGGGCAGAGAGTAAGAGGATGGGAGCAGGAGGAGGGAGAGTGGACTGACTTAGAGCAGAACGACAGAGAGTAGGAGGACGAGGAACAGGAGGGTGAAGAGTGGGAGCACGGAGAGCGGGACTACAGGGAGTGAGAGGATAGAGGATGGGAGAGGACAGGACTGGGGGCAGGAGGATGGAGACTGGGAGCACGGGGAGCAGGAGGATGGAGAGTATGAGGAGGGGGAGGACGAAGAGCGGGAGCACAGGGAGCAGGAAGATGAAGAGCGGGAGCATGGTGAGCGGGAGGACATGCTCACTTACAGGGCAGCGGTGCACCAGCCAGTATGCCTTCTCCTGACAGTCCAGGGCGTACCTGTCCGCCTTGGGCCTTTCCTTCCCAGTCCTGCAAAGCCAAGGGCATGGGAAAAACCACTGAGCGTCTGCAGTCTTGGCTGCGTGGGGTGCAACGGAGCCCGTTCCCAGAGTCCCCGCCTCTGCCCCCACCTACCCAAATGGCCCGTGTTAGCCATGAAAATAAAAAACGAGGGCTGGAGGGATAGGAACAGAGAACTATCCGCCCTGCCATCCCTGGGGGCCCCACCCAGCACTGCCCATAGCTGGGACCAAGGCGCATCACATGCTCAAGTCCGGGTCTGGAGCTGTCAGCCTGACTTACCAGAATCCCCAGGAAAGGCCCCAGGTCTGTGGAGCACTTGTAGGGAGCACCCCCAACAAAAACAATAGTCAATACTAACATCACCAATGCACAAGTCTGGCCGGGTCACTGCTCCAAGGAGCCTGCCCTGTCCAGGAAACCAAAGGAGAACAGGGGAATTGGCTATATTCCCTTCCTGGCCCCGTTCCCCATTCCTACAAAGTCTCAATGTTCATCACGTAGCTAGCACCTAAGGTCAAAGGGGGTCTCAGCGTCCAGCTCTCCTGGGCCACAGGTGAGGGAGTACCCACTCTAGGACTAGTCCCAGCGTGCTTGGGGTGGGGGGCAGGGACTGGCATTTGGACATTTGGGGGCTTCATTTTTCCCCTGTCTCCATCCTGTGATCCCTATTGGCGGGGGGCCTAGAGAGGGCCACGCCCACCAGTTCCCAAAATGCAGGACCCCAGCTGCAATGAAACTCCAGGAGAGAAAGGCTTGTGCCCCCCACCTCTCGCTGAAGAGGGAGCCTCCAGGGGCTCTTAGGGGAGGCTTTTAGCCGGGGATCAGGGAAGTGCCCTGGGTCTCTTGCATCCTGCCAGCTGCTCTGTTTCTGCTCTTGCAATACGCCCCATTTTCTGGTTGGAATAACGGGGTGCTTTTGTTCGAGGTCCACAGTGAACAGCCATGCCAAGCTCTGGACAAAAGCCGGCAGCAGTCACAGCAAGAGCAGGTGAGGTCCCGGGGAAGACACAGGCCTGGGGGTGGGGGCAGGAGGAGACCCCATCCCTCTCACATCATTTCCGCTATGTCCGTTCTAAGCTGAGCTCTGATTACAGCTCGGACCCCCCGCCCCCCTCTCTCCTGATGAAGAGGAAATGAGGCCGCACCTCCGCCCTCAGGAGCGAGGGGCACATTCATCAACCAGCGGGCGCCACGCAGCCCCATTGCCACGGCGACATGCGCTCGCACCCCGCTAATGCCTGTTCTCCCGGCAACGTGCACTGACGCACGGCCCTGGTAGGAGCGGCGCCTGGCGCCTTTCTCTGCCTGCTAATGTGCAGAATCACAGCCGGCAGCCAGACAGGGAAGGAAGTGGCCGTGCCAGCCTCCCCTGGAAACTCAGGAGAAAGGCTGGTGCCAGGGCAACCCCAGAAGGCTTGCAGCAGGGTCTCACTAGCCCCTGGCCTCGTGGCTGTCTGCAGGGGGCCTGGCGGGGTATCTAGCCAGCCCTGCCAGGGAGCACCCAGCTCACTTACTCCAAGAGGCCATGCATCCCAGCTCTGCTCTGCTCAGGGTTGAGAGCTGCGACTGGGAGAAGTCCAGCTGAAAGGCAGTGGAGAGAGCCGGTACACACACACGTGCTCTGGTCTACCCTGGGAGGTCGCTTGATGAGTCTCGGGCCCCTTGCTCATTCATCTCTGCCTTCACCTCCCCTGCTGGGTACCAACACCAGGAGGATAATGAACTGTATAACACAGCTGTCTGGGTTGAGCCCTGTGTTACAGACAACACCCGCCCCCCCTCACACACACACACACACACATACTCCACTGAAACTGGCTCCAGCTATGGAGAACTCCCCCATCACCAGACAAACGTCCTTCCTGTCCCCCTCTCTCCAGTCACAATCGCCATCCTGGCCCTGGATACCTCTGGGGTGGTCTCCAGCCCTGTGTCCCCCGTCCAGCTTCTCCTACTGCCCCCTGGCAGCTTGACAGCCCAGCTTCCTGGCCCCCCATGCTAGAAATGCCAATCCCCTTGGCCCTTTCCAATGTTTGTCACATACAGACCCAACCAACATTTCTTTACTAAGAGAAGGAAAGGAGTGAAGGAGGGAAGGCAGAAGCCCACCCCTTTCTAGCCAACGCAGGGGGGCCAAAGAGATAGTTTGGCAGGTAGGGTGCTTGCCACACACCTGGCCAACCTAGATTCTATTCCCCACCTACCTCATAGTCCCTGGAGCCCTGCCAGGAGAGATTCCTAAGCGCAGAGCCAGGAGTGAGTCTTGGGCACCGTCGGGTGTGGTCCCCCAAACCAAAAACCAAAAAGAAAGTCAACAGCAGCTCACGCTCACCTGTACTGCTCCTTGGCCTGCATGATGACAAAGTCCCACTTGTAGTTAATTTTCTTGTTCAGGAAATCATAATTTTCCTAGGGGAAGAAAGGAGAAAGAAAACACTAAGGCCCATGATGTGGGCTTGCAGCAGGAAGCCCGAACTCAGAGAGGGTATGTACGTTCCTGACTCAGTGGGAGCTGGGTCCAGGCCTGGCTAAGGCATGATTTCCCCCAGCACTGGGTCCTCCAAAAGCAGGGACAGCAGAGCTGCAACTTGGACTGAATAATTTTCATGCCCATGTACTGAATCTGATTAGGAAAAGGGCATGGAAGAACATGGAAACTCAAAATTGAACAACACAGAGGACTGGAGCGATAATACAGCGAGGAGGGCATTTGCCTTGCGTGCGGCTGACCCGGGTTCGATTCCCAGTATCCCATATGGTCCCCCAAGCACCTCCAGGAGTAATTCCTGAGTGCAGATCCAGGAGTAACCCCTGTGCATTGCCGGGTGTGACCAAAAAATTAAAAAAAAAACAAAATTGAATAACACAAAGCCTCAGGAATCCATAGAGATAAAGCCTGAGCCTGGCAATAATGCTGACTCTTCTCCAAATATGTTTATTAAGAACAAAAAACAAAACCCAGGAGGACCATTGCCGTCAGCCCAGAAGTCTAACCTTTTGAGGACGAGGGTAAGTTCTTTGAGAACTATGACTCATCGAGCCTCCAATGAAAGTCTATATTATTTATTGTTTTTCCATTGCATGTTGAAGTTCAAATGTGAATTATGAAATACCAAATGATCACGAATATAAACTAAGGCATTTTTTTTGGAATAACAAAAGGAAGATGGCAGCTGGGATGTAGCAACCGGGGTTGGAGCTGGAGAAACTAAAGCTTGACATAGGGAAGGATTTGCTGAGAGCTGCAAATCTCTAAGGAGATGGATGGATGGATGGGTGGATGGATGGTTGGATGGGTGGGTGGGTGGATGGTGCAAAAGTGGGTGGATGGACAGCTTGATGAATGGGTGCATAGATGCACAAGTGACGGGCGGGTTGACGGATGGGAGGAGAGATGAACAGAAAGATGGGCGGATGAACGAATAGATAAATGGGCAGGTAGATGACAGATGAACGGGTGGGTGTTCCGTGGTGCAGAATGCGGGATGGATGATTTGACAGATGGGGAAAGGTGAACGGGTCATCGGATGGTGAAGACCCACAGGAAGGTGGTGATGAGGAACTTAGGTGGTTTTTATTTTTTTAAAAAAAAAAAAAGCTCCTGATGACATTCCACTCAATTCTCACCACACAGCCTTGAAAACATCCTGTACCTTTTCATATTCTTCCAGAATCCCTTTCTTCTTGATATTCCGCTTGGCTAAATAGATGGCTGAAATGGAGAAAACAGTGGCATTTTCCACCATCGTCATATTTCAAAACCGCATTCTCTACCTCGCTCTATGCGCGGGACTGCTTGGCAGGCCTTGGCAGAGAGAGTCATCAGCAGAACCCTCCCTGCCCCTCAGGAACACTCCCCATGTGGAGGTGATCCATCATAAAGGTCACAGTGACAGCAAGACAAATGTCCCCCATATGCAGCGAGTAAACAAGCATGTTAAGTACAAAAGGGGGGTGGGGGTATTACCATAGTCTGTATCCTCCGCAGGCCACTGCTGAGTGGGCCAGAAATACGGCGTCTGCCAAAGAAATCAGAAACCAGACTGAGACAAGTGGGCACTGACCCCCCCAGGTCCCACAATTTAAGAGAGAAAGTTCCCTTTGTCCTCTTCTTCTTCTTTTTTTTTTCTTTTTGGGTCACATCTGGTGATGCACAGGGGTTACTCCTGACTTTGCACTCAGGAATTACCCATGGCGGTGCTCAGGGGACCGTATGAGATGCTGGGAATCGAACCTGGGTCGGCCACGTGCCAGGTAAACGCCCTACCCGCTGTGCTATCACTCCAGCCCCCACTTTGTCCTCTTTCTGCTTCTACAACCTTGATATGTGCCCCTAGGAAAAACCAGCATTTCACATTCCAGATTACAGTAAAACCCCATCTGAACCCCCCAAGGTCTGGGCCACCCCTCACCTGGAACCTGTAGAGGCTGCTGTCAGGCTTAAGAATGAGATTCTTGGGGTCCTGCAGAGGGTAAATGTAGCCATACTTGACTATGAAGTTGCCCAAATTCTGAGCCTCTGTGAGGAAACAGGTGAGATGTGAAAGTTAAGAGCAGAGCTCCAGGGATGAAGCACATTGCCAGGTCCTTACGCTACACCCCCAAAAGTGCGAGAGAGGCACCCCACCCCATCCCCATCCTCACAGCGCTTCATCCAGCATGAGAAGACAGTGAGCGTCAGCTGGGGATGAACATGCTGGAGGGGTTTCCCGGCCTGACCTCTCATACAAGTCAGTAAATCAATCTGCAGGGAAGCCATATCACCCGCAAATTCGCGGGGGCCATGAGAGACTCCCCACAGTGTCCAGGAAAAAGTGTGGGGTAAACCCAGCAAACCCTCTTTTCATCTCTTTGGGTCTGAAGAAGACCAAGAATCAGGGAGACAATTCGTTAACCAACAGGCACATCTCCACTCAAAGAGGAGCAGGAAAGGGGGTCACGGATGTCCTCTGCCACCATCTCCTACCCCTGAACCAGCTCTGCCGTCCTTCCAGATCTGAAGCGCTCACTCCTACCACCTCACCTTACCCGCCCCCACCTGGGCCAGCTGACTGGGTGGTGTTGTTTCTGGGCTTGCATGAACTAAAGACAAACTCTGTTTTGGTTCTTCGTCAGAAGCCCCAGGGACCATAGCTGTCTCTGCATCCTAGAAAGAGGACTCCATCCCTCGGGGCTCCAGGACCCAGGACCCAGCCAACATCCCACCCCTTCGCCCAGACCCTCCCTCTTTGGGCAGTTCTCTCACTCACAGCCCAGACCCTCCCTGTATTCCCGCTCCAGGGCCTAGTGTGATGCTCTTACCCAGGTTCTGCATCCTTTTCTTAGTTTGTTTTTGTTGGGGGGCCACACCCAGAGTTGCTCGGGGGTTACTCCTGGCTCTGCACTCAGGATCACTCCTGGCAGTGCTCAGTAGGGAACCGTATGGGTTGTGGGGATCGAACCTGGGTCACCTGCATGCAAGGCAAGTGCTGTATATGCCCCATACCCACGTTCTTTCTGCCAAACATCCAATCAAAGATCATCCGTGATGCTGCTCACTCCAAAGCCCTCTGACTTCCTTTTGCTTTTCTCTCTCTCTCCGGCTAAACCCATGACTCCCCAACTCCCACTCTTCTCCACGGCCAGCCAAATCCACTTCTCCCCATGCCCCATGCCCACCCCATTTCTACATCATGGCTCTGGCGTGTTTCTCCTTCTGGGAAGAGAGACCCTCTGAGCACCCCTTCCCGCTCACAAGGCCTTGCTTATTGCTATAGGATGATTCCCTGGTCCAGGGAAGCACTACCTCCTCCAGGAAGCCTTTCTTGGCTTACTCCTCCCCATTCACCCATGAACTGACAGGCATTCAATATTTGAGAGGACACAACACCCAGGAGTCTGTCCCCCAGTTATTGTGTCTTCCTTTTTGATGCGGGAAAGGGGTGGGTGGGGTGCATGTGGTCCATTTCTCAGAGACATAAGCTAAGTGTCGGCTTAATCTCCAGCCTCAGAGAGTCTGGTACAGTGCTTAGTCACCGAGGGCTGGAGAAAAACACTCACCCAGGTTGGAGACCCAAAGCCGCTGGACGAGCCACTGCAGAACATCACTCCCTGCAAGCAGAAGCACGAGGCCTTCATCAGTCTCCCGCACCCCTCGGAATCTTACCGTCCCGCCACACTGGAGCCCGATTGGCCTCTTCCTGGCTTTGTGAGGCCTCATCCTGCTCTGTCCAAAACTTCCAGGCATGCCCCCAGCTCCTGTGGGTTCAATCCAGATGTTACAGCCCAGGGCTGTCCATGGTCTTGGATGATTTCTGATTTACCCTCCTCCCTGCCCACACTTACTACCTCTCCAGTGGCTTTTTTGTTTTTGTTTGTTTGTTTGACTTTTGGGGGGAGAGTAGGGCCACCCCAGAGGTGCTCAGGGCTGACTCCTGGCTCCGGGAACCATCTGCAGTACCAGGGACAGACTGGGGTTGAGCTGCATGCAATGCCAGCATCTTAACCCCTAGACTAGCTCTCCAATCCCTCCCTGGGGACATTTCTTGTCTTACTTTATAATAACACATTCATGGGTTATCATTCATCAACTAGAAAGCAAAGAGACCAAGTCTTAACACTAGGGCAGAGGGGGGAAGGAGCAAAGCAAACCATCCCAAACTATCTCTGGGGCTCTGGATGGTGCCTGGACCCATGAGAATCGCTCAGAACCAGGGCTGGAGGGCTGGGGGATGTCCACTCAATGCTGGCTTCAGCAGCTGTAGAAGGTCCTTTTGCCAAAGCAGCAGGCAAAAGGACATACCCCAGTAACTCTCTGCACATTGCTGTATGACTTTCGACACATGGAAAGTGGCCTCCACTCAAAGTCTCACCCTGACTGGAAAGAAAGATGGCAGCCGCTTGGGAGCTTTGTGGAAAGCCAGGTATGAGCTGGTCATGGTGGGGCGACTAAAATCTCATGGGAAGGGGGGGCATTCCCGGCTCGTCCTTCACGCCCTACCGAGGTCACCAGTTGCCCCCCCACAAGCGGCTCTCCAGCACGGCCATGGCTCCAGAAGCACAAGGACTTAATGCAGAGCCCAGCAGCTTTCAGCAGAAAAGTGAATGGACTATGTGTTAATCCACGCCACCATGTCTGCCCGAAGGGGAAAGGGTATTGGTCCCTTCCGCCTTCTTCCCTCTGGAAAGAAAGATGGCAGCCACTTGGGAGCTTTGTGGAAAGCCAGGTATGAGCTGGTCGTGGTGGGGTGACTAAAACCTCATTGGAAGGGGGGCGTTCCCGGCTCGTCCTTCACGCCCTACCGAGGTCACCAGTTGCCCCCCACGAGCAGCTCTCTGGCACAGCCATGGCTCCAGAGCACAGAAACCAATCTCTTAATTATCTGACTCTCAGCAGAAATACTTCCAGGGTTAATAAGTAAAATAGCAGAAATCCAAAACCGCGTGGCCGCGACATCATTTAATTCTTGAACCCAGCTGTAGAAAGCAAATCATTTCACAATGCCTTTTCAGCATATCTGATTTGGGGGTGTAAACTCTAAATAATAATGGTGCATCTTTTATCGAAACAATAAATCTAGTCAAAGCAGATAGAGTGTTAACTAGAATTCATCTGCCTCACAGGCATTGGGAGGGGTAGGGGGTGGGGGTTTATTGGGGTTCTTCGTGGTGAAAAATAAGTATTGGTAAAGGGAAATGTGTTTGATATTTGCATGACCGAGACCTAAACCCGAAAGCTTTGTAACTTTTCCCACAGTGATTCAATAAATAAATAAATTATAAAAAAAAAAGTCTCACCCTGGGCCCTCCGGGTCTAAGGAGGGCTGGGAACAAAAAGACATCCACAGGAAGAGCTGAAAAGATAGACAGGGAGCAATCTCTTGGAGCAAACGCCTTGTGTGTACCTCACACTATTGCATTCCCGGGTACTACATGGTCCCCTTGTCAGGTACAGCCCGGAGACACCTTCCCCATCCCCACCCATACACACACACAGACACAGACACCCACCACACACACACATACACACACAGACACAGACACAGACACCCACCACACACACACATACACACACAGACACAGACACAGACACCCACCACACACACATACACACACAGACACAGACACATACACACAATACACACACACATACACACAGACACAGACACATACACACACAGACACAGACACCCACCACACACACACATACACACACAGACACAGACACAGACACCCACCACACACACACACACACATACAGACACAGACACCCACCACACACAAACATACATACACAGACACAGACACAGACACCCACCACACACACATACACACACAGACACATATACACAATACACACACACACATACACACATACACAGACACATACACACACTACACACACATACACACATATACATACTACACATACCATACACACGTACACACACATACACACCACACATATACACACCACACACCCCACACATGCATATACACATGTACACACACATACACACATACACACACATACACCACACACATATACACACACATACATACACACACACCACACTACCCATACCACACACACATATACACACATATACACACATCACACACACACATACATACACACACATGCACCCAGCACCCCCAGCTACAGCTCCGGAAGCATCCAGACCTCAGGGCGCCAACAATGCTGCACCCCTCAGCCCTAGCCCTGAACCACTGGCTTTATCGGCAGAGTCACCAGGAAGGGCCCCCAGGCTTCCCCAGCACCATCTGGGAACCCCCCAAGATGCAGAGGCAGCCCGGGACGACATCAGGGCTGTAGAGAACAGGCACCGCCTCCAACCCATGTTCCAAGGACTCAGGTGGGGACAGGTCAAGTCCAGCTACAAAGACCAGAGACGCTGCAGGACCCCAGGAAACCAGGGGCCCAGTCTCCAAGCTTCTGACCCATGCGCTCTGGCCCCAGAAGCAGGAGTAAGAAGCAACATCTCAGAAAGGAGACATGCTGCTCTGGAACCATGACCCCGACTCAGACGCCACCTTCCATGTACCCACAGCCACATTTTTGCTTTAGTTCTGTTTGGGGCCACACCCAACAGTGCTCAGGGCTTATTCCCGGCTCCGTGTTCAGGAATTACCCCTGGCAGGGCTCTGGGGACCGGATGGGGTGCCAGGGATTGAACCTGGGACTCCCACCATGTGCAAAGCAAGCACCTTCCCTGCTGTGCTGTGTCTCCAGGGACCTCCCAACAACCAATTACTTTAGCCATGCCTGGGGGGAGGGTGGGGGCACGTCGGGCACAGGCGCACAGAAGGAGCCATGTCGGAGGACTACTTCTCCTGTCACCTGCAGGGGGCGCTTCTCAGGCCCACTCACACCCAGGATTCCAGTGGCTCAGGGCAGGGCTGTGATCCTGGGATCCATCCCCTCCTCCCCAGCCCGATGAGCACCAATGTCCTGCCACCAACCATCTACCCACATGCCCACAGTAACTGCTCTGGGTGGTTTTAGCATCTTGCAACTCAGGTTGATGGCTGAGGAGCAGAAATCCTTCCTGGAAAATCCCACAATGGGGGAGGGGGGGAGGGGAAAATGGAGCAATAATAGTACAGCGGCACTGGCTTATTTTGCAGTGTGGTCCATCTTCAGCACCCCGGTGGTCCCCAAGCCCTCTGGGAGTGAGTCCTGAATGCAGAGCCAAGAGTCAGCCCTGAGCACCACTAGACGCCGTCCCCCACCCCAACCAGGTCAAAAAAAAATCTCAACAAGGGGGTGCTTCAGACTTTCCACTCCTCGCCTCTCTAAATGCTAGCCAGTGGGGAAGCGACAAGAAACAGAGGCCCAGGCTGACTGATTAGCTCTCTCGCCCGAGGAGTAATGGGCTTTCCTGAAATAGAACAAATGAGATTAACAGGCCTCTGCTTCCTACGTCACAGGGTCTGTGCTGACGCTGCGGCCCCCGGCTCGGGCTTCCCACCAGCCCCCTAAAGTCCCCAGCCATCCTGGGTCTGCTGAGAAACAGCCCAATTGTCTGCTCTGAGTCTACAGAGTTGGAGCTTGCTCCCCCCCCCCCGCCCCCTGCCCCTCCCCACCCCATACTGACCTCATGACCCCCAGGATAGAGAAACGAGGGGGAAACGGCAGTGAGGGCAGCCTCACCCCCACCCAGAACACGGGCATATGTCACATTCTGGATATGAGGTACACATGGACAGCCAGGTGCTGAGGAGGCTGGCATCTCCTCTCCCCAAAGGGGTGCACAGAGGGTGCTTGGAGTTCCCCTAACATTCCTGGGGTGCTAGCCACCCGTGCAGGAAGCGACAAGCTCCTCCAGGGAGCTCCCTGCCTGTTGACCACAGCTCCAGTGCAATTTGCAGCTCATCCCGGCTGTCAATCGTGTGGACAGAGACAGATGGTCCTGCTTCTGGTTGGGGGGTTGGGTTTTAGGGCCACACCTGGCAGTGCTCAAGGGCCTATTCCTGACTCTGTGCTCAGGGATCCCTCCTGGCGGGGCTCGAAGGACGCACCTGACCTGTGGACACTAGCTCTCTGGTCTGCTAGCCCTGAGTTTGATAAATAAATGGGAACTCAAGGCTGGAGCGATAGCACAGTGGGTGGAGCATTTGCCTTGCATGCAGTAGACCCAGGTTCGATTCCCAGCATCCCATATGGTCCCCCAAGCACCGCCAGGAGTAATTCCTGAGTGCAGAGCCTGAAGTAACCCCTGATTGCTGGGTGTGACCCAAAAAGAAAAAAAAAGAAAAAAGAAACGAAAAACTCGAGCCACCACCTCAAAAGGAGATACCCCCTGCATTCAACCTACTGACCAAGCCTCAGAGGGCACCAGGGAGGGACATATAAGGACTGTCGTCCCCCCCACCCCGTTGCCTATGCCTCAGCTAAGCATGGGGGTGACCCAGAGGAAGTCAAGGAGAGGTCGCCAGAAGAGCTCACCCAGTCCAACGGAGAGTTCAGACCAGAATGAACTTTAGGGGCTGGAGAGATGATACAGTGGATAAGGCATTTACCTTGCACTCAGCAAACCGGGGATTCAATCCTCAGAAACCCCTATGGTCCCCTGAGCTGTAACAGGAGTAATTGATTTCTGAGTGCAGAGCCAGCATAAGCCCTGAACACCACCAGGTATGGCCCAAACACAAACAAAAAAAAAAATAGAATGAATGGAGACCGAAGAGATTATAATACAGTGGATGAGGCACTTGCCTTGCACACGGCAGACCTGGATTCGATCCCTGGCATTCCATAGGTTCCCCCGAGCCGGCCAGGAGTAAGCCTGAGCATCACCAGGTGTGACCCCAAAACAATAATAATAATGAATCGAATGAGTGAATGTCTGTCAGGAGCAGAAAGGAGCAGGGGAAAGAGAGAGTTGGAGTCTCTGTATCGCACACCGCAGCAACAGCAGAGGCCTCAGCCATTTCTGCTCTGCCAGGCCTGCCCCTTGTGGTTCCTGGACTCTACCACGCCTGGCTCCCAAGACTCCACTTTTTTTTTTTTTGCTTTTTGGGCCACATCTGGTGATGCACAGGGGTTACTCCTGGCTCTGCACTCAGGAATTACTCCTGGCAGTGCTCAGGGGACCAAATGGGATGCCAAGGATCGAACCTGGGTCGGCCGGGTGCAAGGCAAATGCCCTCCCCACTGTCCTATTACTCCAGCCCCAAGACTCTGCTTTTTCTCTTGAGAGCTGCCCTGGGGCATTCCCACAATTTCCCTTTGGCTCCAACGAGGCAAATGGATTTCCCTGGCAGACTCCAGGAGAGGCGCACACCTGCCTCCTCTGAGCAGATGCAGGCGGCAGGCAGGGAGCCGCGGGGGAGCAGGGCCGGAGCCAGCCTGCTCTGCCAAGTCAGGGCGCCTTTCATGGGAAAGGGCGGTGGGTGGAGAGTTGAGAATGAGGCTCCCAGGAGCAGAGCACAGAGGTGAGCCCGGGGCTCCAGCCTGGAGAACTGTTTGCTCCAACAGGCTGAACTCTGGGTCACAATCATGTGTTGCGTCCACTTTCACTGACACTCACACGGGCCCCCACCTCCTCCGGGGACTCTTCTCAAGCCCTCAGGCACCATGTGTACCCCAGGGTGGGTGGTTCTGAGGGTCTGTATTTGGGGAATTAGAAGGGAGAGAGGGGCAGGGACCATGGGAATCAATTTTTTCCTCCTAAAGAATATCTTTCCACTGGACCTGATGTCCTTAAAATCCAACCAAGGCAAACACTCACAAAAAGAACAGAAGTGCTTGAAAACAATTTTAGGGGAGGGGGGCTGGAGCGATAGTACAGTGGAGAGGGTGTTTGCCTTGCATGAGGCTGACCCAGGCTCGATCCCCAGCATTCCATATGATTCCCTGAGCACTGCAGGAGTGATTCCTGAGTGCAGAGCCAGGAATCACCCTGAGCATCGCCAGGTGTGACCCAAAAAGGAAACAACAACAACAACAAAACAATCTTATGGGGAATGACTTTACCAAGTCCCCTTCCCTTCCTTCATTTATTTTTGTTTTATTTTGGGGCTGGAGCGATAGCACAGCGGTAGGGCGTTTGCCTTGCACGCAGCCAACATGGCCGACCCGAGTTTGATTCCTCCGCCCCTCTCGGAGAGCCCGGCAAGCTACTGAGAGTATCTCGCCCGCATGGCAGAGCCTGGCAAGCTCCCCATGATGTATTCGATATGCCAAACACAGTAACAACAAAGTCTCCAATGGAGACGTTACTGGGCCTGCTCGAGCAAATCAATGAACAACGGGAGGACCGTGACCGTGACCATGATTGGGAACTGTACCCACTTGTGTTCAGGACTTACTCCTGACTCTATGCTCAGGGTGGGTCTTCGGGGTGGGGAGAGAGATCATATGTGGTGGGTCTTCGGGGTGGGGAGAGAGATCATATGTGGTGCCAGGAATTGAACCTGGGTCAGCTGTGTACAAAAGAAGTGGACTTCTAACCTCAGAAGAAGCCTATGGTCCCCAGAATCACCAAATTCAGTCTCCAAAGGGCAAGAGTGCCAACAGTTTTAGCTCTGTGGGCCCAATACAATCTTGAAACAAGGCAGCGTGGAAAGAACCAGAGGCCGCCCCTCCGTAGGTACACGGCTTTCCTCTCCCACTTAACCGGCAAATAGAGGCTGTGGGTCAAACTGGATCCCAGGGCTGCATTTGACATGTTGCCAGCCACTGCACATAGTGGGTGTCAGTCCTCGATTCGACCCCGCGCTCCAGTACCTGTCATAGCATGAGGGACGCTGGTGACCAGGACCTTCTGGCTCTGCATTCGGACTCCCGACTCTGGGTTCTGCATGTCCTTCACCAGCGCTTCTATCTGTAAGACAGAACCAAGAAAGCTGCTGAACAGGAACCTACCAAGCGCTGGGTTAATGTGCTGGAGGAATATTCATTGGAAAACTGTCCCTCTGATGATGGGGAACAGCCAGGAGCAAAACATGCATGGCTAAGGGACCAGAACTCTCTGCATCAGCTTCAGGGACCCCACGTTTCTGTGGAGAACTGCGGGAGAAGAGGAGATTCCACTTAAAGGGATTCTGCTGGACAGGGAAAGTCAGGGAAGGGCACCAGATCCCTGAGGACAGCAGCCAAGGGTCTCCGATAGCATTGCCAGGAGTGGGTCTCATTTCAGCAGCTGTTTCAGAAATAAGACCCAAGGCAGTCTGGAATAGGAAGTTGGCCCCACATAAGGAAAAGAACGCAGGGGTTCTTTCCAAAGATCTCACAATAATCAAGCCAGCAGGAAAAGGTTTCCACCCTGGCTGACTCCAGCCCTGATGCTCTTCAGGTGATGTTCCTGGTCCACTCCTAAAGTCCAGACAGCTGAGCACCTGCACAGAGGATGTCTGCCCTCATGGAGGAGGGGACCCTCAAGCCCCTCCTGCACACCTCTCAGCCACCACCTGCATTAAAGCAGCTCTCTGAGCACCCTGTCCCCGCCCCCAAAGCTCAGTCACTTGCTGGGTCCCTCCCTGCTGATTGCTGGCGACAAAATGCAAGGACACAGCCCCACACAGCACAGCCCTTTCTAATCCTTGGACCGTGAGCTTCAGGGCCAAATGAAAAGAACCCCAGGTCCTCGTGCCCTCGCTGGGGGCCTCCTTTCTCCACCAACATAAGGTCTCAGGTACCTCCCCCTCCTGAACCCCCAGCCTCTGCAGGAGAACGAAAGGGGGTGACCAATGGATGGGTCTGATTCTATGATCTCTTAGAATCCAAGCACACAGGGGCCGAGACATGCTTTCTCAGGCTAGATACATGTGATGGATGTATCAAAGATGCATGTGATGAATGCACAAAGAAATGATGTGGGGGAGGGGGGTAAAAATCCTGCCAAGCCCAAGTAGATCTTTGGGTGGGGGGAGATTAATTTTTTAATGAATCTCTCAAGGGTAAGCTTGGAAAGAGATATTTGACACAGCAGCAAGTCTTGGAAGGCACCACAGTGCTGGAGATTTCTCCAGGTCCCACACTGAGCTGATTTCACTGGGGCACCCCAGATGGAGTAGGTGCAGTTTCCCCCGCCTATTCCAGATGGAATCCCAGTGACCAAGAACTTCCACAAGCAAGGCCCAAGTATGCGGGTTCCAGAATTAAGTCTCCAAGCTCCATGGTGGCAGTGGGGTCAGGCAGTCCCTCCCCAGCTCCCCATCTGCTCCTGATGCCGGATGCCACTCCCACAGTCCACCTCCGGGCACCATCTTAACACACCAACAGCCCTGGTCCAGAGACTCCCAATTGAATCCCAAAATGGATTAGCTCCTACAGAGATGTCTCTGGAGCCCAACCATTTACAATCTTAGAATTCCAGAAGCATGCCAGCCTCTCATGATATGCAAAATGAGCATTGGAAAATAAATTATCTAGCGTCTGCCCTGGCAGGCAGGCTTGAATGGTGGTGGGAAAATTCGAACAAAATATGATATCCAAAAGTAGAAAGAGAATATCGGGGAAATTGTCTGCCATAGAGGCAGGGGGAGGACTGGGATGGGGCTGGGGGGGTGTGGATAAGGGGGACATTGGTGGTGGAAAATTTGCACTGGTGGAGAGATGGGTGTTTGATCATTGTATAGATGAATCTCAAACATGAAAGCTTTGTAATTGTGGCTCACGGTGATTCAAGGAAGGAAGGAAGGAAGGAAGGAAGGGAGGGAGGGAGGGAGGGAGGGAAGGAGGGAGGGAGGGAAGGAAGGAAGGAAGGAAGGAAGGAAGGAAGGAAGGAAGGAAGGAAGGAAGGAAGAGATATTTACAAGTAAGTAGCTCCTGGGGAGATTAAATTAGTGGGAAATGTGCCTTGGTTTATGTGGTTTTCTAAAAACCTCCCTCCCCTCCTTGGTGTCCTCCTGACAGTCTCTGAGTTCACTAAATTGTTTACAGGCAGCAGCTGGGAGATTAAGGGAGCTGTTAGGCAGTGTCTCTCTCCAGAGTGCTAGAGGTGCCCCGATGATGGATAAGTTACTGCTACCTATCGGCCTCATGCTTATCTGATGATTTGTCCAACTTCTGAAGCAGTCATCTAGGGTGATTTCATTATGGCCCCAGGAAACAACAAGCATTAAGATACATGCTTTCAAAGGATAGATATGCCATGGTACTGATGGAGTCGGTAATCCTAGAAGCTTCCATATAATCAATGCATCTTCTAAACTCTGCAGGCCTGGCTGCATTGAGATGCCAGGGAACAAGAACCTCACTCAACCAATCAAATACAAGTAGTTTCTGAACCCAAGATAAGGGCCAGTCTGAATGGAGAATACAAGTTTTTGTTTGGTTTGTTTGGGGGGAGAGGGCATGCTTGGCAGTACTCAGGGCTTATTCCTAACTCTGTGCTCAGGGATCACTCCTGGTGGTGCCCCAGGGACTATACGGGGTGCCGGGGATCAAATCTGAGTGAGTTGTATGCACGGCAAGCTCCCTCAAGTACTATTGCTCCAAACTCAAGGATACAAGTTAAAAATACAAAGACAGTCCCAGTCCTCAGAGAGTTGGGAAGACAATTGCAGGAAAATCAAAGTTAACTTAGAGGAACATCAGTGATCTGGATGCAGGAAAATAGCTCAGTTCAAATTCCTGCTCCAACAGAGAAGGAAAGAAATTAAGGAGGGAAGAAGAGAATGGGAAGTTAATGGGTAAACATGCATCAGGGTTTCGGTTCTACTGGTGATGTGGGTGAGGGGTAGAGCCTTATGTCCAAATCACAGACTCCACAACACTGAAAACATGAGATCTAAGCTGAAGCCACTGGAACTTCGTCATGTGCCTGTCAAGTTGATAGACGGAGATGGGACAGGAAGTGGGGGTGGGGAGGGAATCTGGTAACACTGGTGGAAGGAACGTGACGCTGGTGATGAGATTGGTGGTAAAATATTATATGCCTAAAATTCAACCATCAGGGGCTGGAGTGATAGCACAGTAGGTAGGGCGTTTGCCTTGCACATGGCCCAACCCGGGTTTGATTCCCAGCATTCCATATGGTCCCCCGAGCACGGCCAGGAGTAATTCCTGAGTGCATGAACCAGGAGTAACCCCAGTGCATTGCTGGGTGTGACCCAAAAAGCAAAAATAAATAAATAAATATAAAATTCAACCATCAATAATTTGTAAATCACAGGTCTTTCACTTTAAAAAATGTTAACTAATTTTTTTTTTAAAAAGTCCCAGCTCCAATGTGGAAGCTAGGTCAATGGCTAAATCTCAGAAGGCCAAATTTCTCAGGGGGTGATAAGGAATGATTATTATAGTGAGAGGGGTGCTGTAAAGGTTGGTGAGATAAAGTATTGAAAGCAATGAGCACCGTGGGTGAATTTTCTCAGGGAGCACACGCGGATGCTCTCTGAGAATGTAGGACATAGCAGGGTTGGGGTGCACGGGGGTAGGGGTGGCTGAAGAAGAGGATGGCTGAGACTAAAGAACAAAACAAGGGGCCAGAAAGATAGTACAGTGGGTAGGGTTTGCTTTGCATATAGCCCATCCAGGTTTATTTTAATTTGATGGCATCCCATATGCTCCCCTGAGCCAGAGTGATCCCTGAGTGCAGAGCCAGGAGTAAGCCCCAAGCACCATCAGGTGTAACCCAAAGAACAAAACCACATAAAACTTCACCTTGCGGGGGCTGGAGCAATAGTACAGTGGGTAGGGTGTTTGCCTTGCATGCGGCTGACCTGGGTTAAATCCCCAGCATTCCAGATGGTCTCCCAGCACTGCCAGGAGTGATTCCTGAGTGAAGAGCCAGGAGGAACCCCTGAGCATTGCCAAGTGTGACCCAAAAAAAAAAAAAAACCTCCACCTGGAGAGTGAGTGGAGCTTTCCTGGGTGCTGAAATAGGGGCTAGGGCTGGACACCAGGGCAGAGAGGCCTGAGAAGCTTCTCTGGGCCGGGAACCCTGGTCCATGGTGGGCGGGAAGGCAGAAGGACACGGCCATTAAGGTACACAGCATGGAGGGTCCGCCAGAAAATAAAAAGAAAACTACCAGAGGATCCAGGGGAAGAGATGGAAAAGAACTGAGAGGGAGTTGTTACAACAGCCACCGTTTGCAACGGCCAAGGTGAGGAACCCGTGTGAGTGCATGGCAGAGGGAAAGCCCAGCAGGAGGCCCCTGGGGGTCATGTCCATCCACCCGTCATATGGACGAAGGCGACTCTGCAGCCTGCATGGACGAGGGGTAACCAGCTGCGCTGACTCCAGCAAGTGAAGTGAGCCAGGGGCCCGCTCAGGCAGGGACCTCCCGTGACAATTCCAGGCATTGGGGAGAGAAATGGTGGCTGCCGGGGGCGGGGGGGGGGGGGAAACAGGGACATGGGGGGGGCTGCTGACACGGTCATGATGTTGTCACTAAGCAGGATAAGGTGACGCTTGTGCTCTGGGGAACACTATCACCTGGATTCAGGAAGCGTTTAGAGGTGGGCTCACTGGAGCTGGAGCAATAGCACAGCGGGTAGGGCGTTTGCCTTGCACACGGCCAACCCAGGTTCTATTCCCAGCATCCCGTATGGTCCCCCGAGCACCGCCAGGAGTAATTCCTGAGTGCAGAACCAGGAATAAACCCTGAGCATCACTGGGTGTGACCCCCCCCCCCAAATAAAGAGGTGGGCTCCAAGCCATGGAGCAAAATTCCTGGTACTTGGGAAATGGGCACTGGTGGAGGGATGGGTATCTGATCATTGAATAATTGAAACCCAAGCACAAAAATTTGTAAGTCTACAACTGTACCTCATGGTGTCTCACTAATAAAAAAATAAAAATAAATAAATAAATAAATAAAGAGGTGGATTCACCTGTAAAATGGCACCACAGGCAAATGTTTCAGGGGGGCGGGG